AATCTGCACTTTTGTATTAATCAACAACATGATGAAATAAAATTTTGAATTTCCAAAATTTTGAAACATGTGGCCCCAGGTCCAGTGGTCCCTGTGGGATGGGGTGCACAACTGCATGATCAAGTGGAAATGCATTTTCTCTTTGTTACTCTGACCTACGTCAGGTTATTAAGTAACCAAAGTAAGAATGCTGAGTGTATAATTATGATAAGCAATGGTGCCTCTATCAAAATTGTGTCAGAATTCCATGGCCTCTGGTTTAACACATGAATCAAATTTAATTTGTTGAAAAGTTGTTGCATGATACTCAGGTGACCTATAAGATCAATGGGCCTATTGTTTTTTAAAGCAGGAAAAAACGAACAACATAGTTGAAGTGAAAAAATGTCATTTATTGAAGTAAATGACGTAAAAGTAGTAAACATTTTTACAATACAAGAAAGGGGGTCATGAAAGGGGACTTAAATATAAAATACTGAGTATTACAAATCTTAATCATAATATTGCACAATCTGACCCCCAGCAGCATAATGTCATTGTAAATGATATACATAGAAAAAAGGGGATCAACCAGGACACTAATTAAGAATTTAAAACATGGTAAAAAACATTACAATGTATAGTATACATATATATTCAGTTGACCCCCTGCTTAACATAAAAAAAATCTAAACATATATGAAAATATGCTACGTTGTTGCCTGCTATCAAAAAAGTTTTTTTTGTTAAGTTAGAGTAGAAAATTCCAGTTTTCTACTTGTTTTTCTTACTATTTTGTGTTGCAGTAGTATAAATGCTCCCATCGAATGTATTCCAGAGATCTGTTTGAAGAAAGCATTTATGTAACGGGAATCCCGGCAATAATAATTGAAGAACTTTCTGGTTTCATAAGTTTTATATATCAATAATTATATTGGCTCTGAAATTGATATAAAATATACAATAACATTTGAATGGTACAATAAAATATAATAGTAGATATACATGAGAGTCATTATTCAAATAATGTCATAAATAAATATTTCACTCTATGAAATGATGTTACACTTAACATGTATAGAGGGCAATAACTCTTACAAGCTTAATTTTTTAAATTACCTTCCACAATCGTGAAGAGTTATCTTTCATATATAACCAAATTAATAAAAAACAGTAATGCATGCCGGTTTGCGGAACCAAGTCCATCTGACATACTGTATGGATCTTTCAGATATGGTGTTAAACTATATTAATAATAAATAAATTTCTAAAGATATGCTCTTTACGATAACTCTGTATTTACACCAAAATACTTCATATGAAAATTCAAAAATATTCTTTAAAAATTAATTACTGAAAGTCGAGTTCTGAGTTGTTGTCAATAAATTCACCCATGCCTGTAAAGAACTCAAACACAAACAAATCAGTATAAAAACGTGTCGTGTGAGGAGACGTTATTTTATGCTTTCTTTTTTATACCAGAGTGTTTTTCATGCACGAGTAGACACACTGACAAAAACTCAGAACTCGAGGGATCTTTATCGTGCCACACCTGTTGTGACACGGGACCTCGGTTTATACGGTCTCATCCGAAGGACCGCCCCATTTAGTCGCTTTTTACAACAAGCAAGGGGGTACTGAGGACCTATTCTATCCCGGATCCTAACGGGGTAACACCCCCTATGATGGCATACAGCAAACACAAGAATATAGGCGATCTTATTATTAGATCCAAATTAAAATCAAATGAAGTTCAAAGAAACTAATAGATTTATGCATACGGTCGACCCCTGATGATGGCAGGCCGTATTACAATTATAAAATGACATTATTATTGTTATTAATACTGCCAAAACACTCTAAATTAATTTAACAAATGAGCAACTGACCAAATGCTTCATTAAGAGTGTCAGGTTCTAATAAGTTTACGACATGTCTGGATGTTAGGATGTCGTCGTTTTTTAGCAGAAAGTCGATTATAAAATCTTTCCTGGTCTGTTAAAGCATATAAATGGGCATGACATTCTCTCCACCCCCCTCTCCCTCTCCAAGACACGTAGTATTGTTTTTGAAAGTTGGAAAAGAGGGGGGGGGTAATATAAATCATGACTATACATTTTGAAAAGCAAATACAATCCTATATCGTTAAAAGGACATTTATATGCCTTATCTTATTCATGTTACTCATATAAATATAAAATCTAAGGGTCTTTTGTGCATTAGAATATAAAATGTAAACTTAAGAAAAAATTGAATTTTTACCAATTTAGAGGCCAGCAAACACAATGGAAGAATTTTAACAGAAAAATTAATAAATACCGAGTTGATATTGAACACGTTCTTCGTGAAAGAATCGTACCTTGTAGAGGCATCCAAGATATATGTAAACTTCGAATAAAAATTTTCAGTGCCCTGTCATATAAAGAAAAGTCTCTTAAATGCCTCGATAAGCATATGAATTCATTCTTCATCAGAAAATCCAGTTCCGTCAATCTGTTCATAATGGGAAAGGCCAGCTAGATTTTACTACTAGTATTTTTTTAAACTAGCATGTGAGTGCAGTTAGATATAATTTTCTCCTTTCACATATACGTCGATTTTAATACAATACCCTGAGCAGCCCAAGGGGAAAATTGTACCTATCTGCGCTGGTAAATTTAAAAGGCTTTAAAGAGTGAGACGGGATCAAAATTGAATGGGAATTGAAAATAGTATTTCATCAAGGTACACATATGAATGATTAGTTACACTAAAAAAAAATGGAGTAAAATTTGGACATTTAATCTTTTGTCAATTTACCGGGGGCCGGAAATCACCTCATCCTTTTCCTGTTTAAACCTGACGATTATTTTTGTCTTATAACGGGGGCGTTCCATATTAAAAGCCATTCTTTGTAAGATTTGAAATTTTATATAGGAGCTGTGGCACGCATAGTCTCAGAATTTCTCCAAACTCTCTATGTTAAAAGTCATTGATACCCTTAACTGAAATCAGGCAAAAATTGGTTGCTATGTTTAATAGTTACCATGGCAACATGTCTTAAAGTTCGAAAAATGGCATTTTTTAACATGTTTAGAGCCCCATAGTTAAGATTTGCGGCAAAGCAAACAATTGGCAATGACTGTTTCCAAAAGTTGAAGGTCAGATGTCTCAAATGCATGATCAACATGTTTGGTAAATCAACTATTACTTACGTTACTATGGTAAAAAAGGATTCAAAAGTAAAAAAAAAATATTCATTGAATTTTTATAAAGTCATACACGTAAAAATAAAAAGCAATTATAGGATGAAATGTGACCAAATAATAGAAAAAAGAGCCTTGAAACATATACCAAGAACAAAATATGATATATCATTTTGGTTGGCAATGGTTGCCAAGGTTTTTATACCACAGAGAGCCTTCAAAGTAACACCCTGTATGTTTAAATCTGATCTTTTCTTCTAAAAAAGCACATTTACTCATAACTCATGATCAATTTTTAAAGATGATGGTGTGCTCCTAGTTTTTCCATTTGAAAAAAATCAGATTAGGTTCTTTAAACAGAGCGTTGCTATGGAAATAAGCAGAAAATATATGCTTAAAAACCTGAAAAATATTTTCTTTCCTTGGATACGTACCCTTAAATGTAGATTCCTAAAATTTTTATGATTGATATTTATTAATAGCTTACCTGACTTTTAATTTTGACTATCATCCAATCTCTAAGTGGATGCAAGAAGTTGACATACAGGGTTTAATATTGATAGAAACTTCACAAAATCGAACATTTTCCCTTCTTGGTAACCATAGCAACAGTGTTGTTTTCTTCATCAAATTTTATCAATATATGATATTCAATTTCAGTTCTAATAGATAAGTACTATTCAAGCCGAGTCTTTTAATTTGTTTCTTGATTATATAACATTTTAATTCTTAATGCAGAGAAAAATAATTCACTTTTAAGCACTGGTACTTTGTTTCCATGGTAACACTGAAAAGTAGCAATTATACCCAATTTTTCTTATGGTTTTGATGTTGCAAAGTCCTAAGGATGCATTTTTGCCAGTCTTGAATTTTCATGTTTTTCCTCAAGACAGTAGCATTAACCCAATGTAAGTTACTGGTTTTGCATGGTTACACTGTGTTACCATGGCAACCATAAAAGTTATTTATAGAATAACATTGCTTATACTTATATACTTATGGTAAAACATTTTCATTGCTTTTCTTAAGTCGTTGATTGAGTTTGAGCATGTAACACCAATCATTAGTGAATACGGAGTGTTTTTCAGCATATTTCAGCATTTTAAATGTATTCCAAATGCATCCTTGGTTACCACTTACTTAGATATGTATTCTAAACAGTTTCTTTACAGTATAAGTAATATCAAGGTGTCATTTTTTTGTGAGAATTGTTTGTTTGCTTTTTCTAGTTTTTATCAAGCCACAGTCAAGATTTAAAGAGGCTGAAAATGTCGATTTTTCAAACTTTTCCGGCTGTTGCCATAGCAACCGAGACACTTAGCAACGAAATTTTGTTTGATATTTGTTTCTGGTGTCAAGTACTAGTCATGGGTGAAGTTTCATCAAAATCGGTGACCATGCGTGGCAACGAAGTTTAAGTGGTTACAGAGAATGGCTATTAAATTCTTGTTTTCGGAATCTTTCGGGCATATACCTAATACAAGCTCAGGGTTCTAAAAAGCACCAAGATATTGAACCCTTAAATTCCTTAGATTTCAGTAGCTTTCTATTTTATACTATTTATTAGCTATAAAAGAAAATGTCTAATTATTATTTTTTCATTGTTCAATAGCGTGCAGCCCAAATTGTTTTAACAATACTTGTGACGCATATGGCAACTGCAACAGTGGATGTGTTTCGGGTTTCTGGGGAAGAAAATGTTCATATATCTGTCAAGATCCAAATTGTGTAAATAACGTCTGCCATAAAAGAGTTGGAAACTGTGTTACTTGCAAACACGGATACTATGGTCTTTTAGGCTGTAGTAAATATTGTTCTACATGCTCTGGTCAGATCTGTTGTATGAACAGTTTCTGCACAAACGGATGTATCCCGGGGTATTACGGTAAACATTGTGAAGAACGGTGTAGTAATTGTAACCATGATGCATGTTGGAGAGACAGGGGACGTTGTGATGGCTGTGATATAGGATATTACGGTGAGAAATGTGAAGACCAATGTAGTAGAACCTGCCTTAATTTGAAATGCAGACAATTCGAAGGGGTTTGTTATGGGTGTAAAGAAGGGAATTTTGGACTTCAGTGTACGAAATCCTGCAATGAACACTGTTATTCAAGAAGTTGTCATCAGTTCACCGGCGAGTGTGATAGAGGTTGTGAGATCGGATATTATGACTTATTCTGCAACATGTCATGTAGTCCCAATTGTGCTCAACCAGGGTGTCATTACATCGTTGGATATTGTAGTGGAGGATGTAAATCAAACTTGACAGGAATTAAATGTGATGGTAAGGTGGTTTATTCCTTGAGACTTTAAACAAGCTATCATGACAACTTTTCTATAAGACAGGTGAAATAAAAAAAAACAAGCGACAGATGCCAGGATTTGCACGTATTTTTGGACTTATTTACGTTGTAAATGACGACAATGATAAATTCAAAATTAAAATGTTTAAACATTGTAATCTTTCTATGATGTTCAGTATTCTACCTTTTTGCAACCAAATTAATCTGATCAATGTTTTTGTCGCTTGAAATGCCATCTTTTTGAAACTTTGAATGAACTGTTGAAGTACATAGGGATAACGTTTTCATTCTACTTATATGATCAAAACTTAAGTTATATTTTTTGAGATTTCTCATAAAAGTTTTTTATCATTTGCATTTAAGTGATGAAATTGAATAGTTACATAAATGTAGAGTATTTATGAGTAATTAAAGTTTAGCGATTAACGAAAAGATATGGATAATTTTACTTAAATTTACAAAGAACCATAAATACTGAACAACAGTAATCTTCTCTTAAGGTTATGTTTTAGTGAGTGTACCCCTTAAATTGTATCCTAATTGCAGAATGTGACTTAAAACACTATGGAATTAACTGCACCATGGAATGTAGCGTGTCATGTCAATCAGGATGTAACCGGGATGCTGGATATTGTAAAGGAAATTGTGATGAAGGCAAATATGGAAATTTCTGCAATGAAACATGTAATCCTGAGTGCAGAAATGGATGCCGCAGAGACAATGGTGATTGCAAAGATTGTGTTGCTGGAAAATTTGGGGCTTCTTGTCAAAATAAATGTGGTAAAGGACGCAATTCCAACTGTTCCCGAAATAATGGGAGTTGTGCGTGTAAGAAAGGATGGCAAGGGGCCCTCTGTAAAGGTATAATGTTCAAGATTGGAATATTTTTGTTTTGAAATTAAAATTAATTTAGAGATGCTAGAAAATAATATAAATTTAACATTCTTGAAGTAAATCACTTTTATTCCGAGAGGAACTGGTACACACATTGCGTTTGAAAATAAGCGTGGAATGTGTCATAAAGCACTTTTAATAAGCATAAAAAATGTAAATAGGGAGTCAAAATAAAGTTCATTACCTACACTAAAATGGTTTTAAAATACAAATTGAAAATTTTACCTTGTAAGTATATTTTTTATTTATTTCCATTTAACAGCTGATTGAAAACTACTGACTTGAATGAGCATAGAACTCGTATTTCAGTCTGAAGAAAAATTTTCGAAAATTGTTTCATTGGGAACATTTTTGGCATTTCTTTTACTATTCATATTGTTTTATTTCATAAAGACTGTAGTCCTCACAACTACGGTGAACTGTGTGAATACAAATGTAGCTCTGACTGTCTTAATGGAACTTGCTTTTCCAATGGATCGTGTATAGGAGGTTGAAAGGGTTACAATAATGGTAAAAAATGTACAGGTAAATAACAATGTATTATTCACTGTTTTCTAGATATCAATAGTTCTCCTTCTTTTAATGTTATTTTCATTCAATTATGAAAGTAAGTAAAGCATATTGTATAAGGGGTGATCAAAAATTTCGCGAACTATCTCTATATTTACAAAACCACGATTAGAAAACAATTTGGTACACACTTAGCCATACACGAGTTCTATAAATAACATATGCTAAATAAAGTTTTGCTCCTTGTTTGTGAAGTCACAATGTGAAAATGACCTCACTATGTAGGTCACTTGTGACGAAAAATGGTCGTCTCAGTCTTACTCGTTTAAAAACGACTGTAAAATTTATTGTATATCTTAAAAATTCCTTGAAAGTAACGTATAATAATTTGTACACGGTTTATTCAGACAAATGACTTCCTATAAATTCAATCAATAATTGGATTGGTCGTTTTAGTGAAGGAAGGCAGATGATTAAAAATGATACTTGTTATGTTGCCCAGTGAAAGCAAGTTTAAAAGGAGGTGTGTTTTTAATTAAGCAATTTGCTATCAAAGAAGTCCAATTAACAATTCGAAAAATAGTTGAATATTTTCACAATAATATAATTATCAAATACCTATGATATCGTTTACTTTAGATTTAAAACATATTAGATATGATAAGAAGAAGGCACCCATTCTCTATCCATCTTGAATAAACGTTTCTCTCGAGACAGAAGATTTGGGTTTTGATGGTCGACATGCTAATTTTTGGAAAGGATATTCTTATCCACCCATTCTGTTGCCGAGCTTTGACCATTTCTGATAAATAAACTGTACTTGTTACAAAAATTAATTTACATGGAGAGGAATATAAAACTCAGGAAAATATTTCAGCTTTTGTGACAGAACGCTACGGAGGGGGTCACGTGACCGAATATTTCACGTGATTCGCGCATGCAGAGGACGGTGACAGATGTGCATTAAAATCGGAGAGGATAAATTTAAAATATTTTTATCACTGAAACCAAATATTATTTCTGTTATGGAAGTTATTCAATTAGTTCGCGAACTTTTTGATCACCCCTCGTATTTGCCGCATTATTTATTAAAGATTCTTTAGTTTTATTGATTTTATTTATTTTTGCGAATATTTCACACGCGCACATTCAGTGGTTTGCATTATTAAAAAAGAATGTGTGATCTTAAATGCTTGTTTTATATACACTGTATGTAGGTTAACATTGCAATAAAGTCTCTATGAACGATTTAGTTAAAATTCTAGTCACCTATGTGAACTGATATTTTTCCCTTTAAAGACAGATGATACAAACAAATTTCTTCTTTGGAAGAGACTTAATATTATGTCACAAGTTTAGAAAAGGGGATAATTCTTAGAATTCTTTCTCCTCAGAACTCGAAAATGAAATACACGTGGAAAATATTAGTAAAATTTCAATATAATTACAAATATGAACAAAACACACTCAGTAATGGTTTATAGATGGAAACAAATTTCAGAATATCATACCTTGGTGCTAAAAGTGTAATTTAAACTTTAGAAAAATATAGCAAGCAGATCGAATTTTATTAAGAAAAGCAAAATGGTAAAATTCAGCCTATGGTTTATTGCTGATTTTTTATCATTTTGTATTTTCTCATAAAATTCACCTGGCCTGGTATATTTTTCTTAAGTTTATATTACACTTTTAGCACCACATATTCTGAAATTTGTTTTCACCTGGAGACCTTTACTGAGAGTTTTTTGTCCATATTTGTTTTTTTTTATTGAAATATTAGTAAAATTTCCCAAGTGTATTTCATTTTCCAGTTTTCTTAAGAGAAAAATGCAATGAATTATCCACTTTTCTATACTTGTGACATGATATTAAATCTATTCCAAAGGAAAAAATTGTTTGTATCATCTGCCCCTAAAATAGAGAAAATAAAGGTGTTAATTCGAAATGAACTCTTCTATTAGATTCATCATCGTCAGAATAAAAAAAATATTATTATCATGCTTATCTATTTTTATTTAAGTGAACCAGCAATCATTAGCGGAAAATACCGACTCTATTTTGACAACATCAGCACTATACGCTGTGGTAGCAGTTCTCTTTCTAAGTATTTTTCTCAATATATTCTTCATTGTTCAGTGAGTTTGAAATTATTTTTTCAAAGTATACAGTATGAGTTAGAGATATAAATTGATCAATCAAATAATATTTGTCATCATTTTCCGTATACATATATTTTCTAGTTGTAAGGTTTTTCTATATTTATGTTACAGAAATGTCAGACAAACCATTAATAAAAGACAGAACTCAAAGCATGTACAAAAACAACAAGATCCAACACAAGATCTAAACGCACCTACATATGACAGAGTTGACAAAGACGCGGCTTACCAACTTGGACAATTAAGTCAACCGTTACATTATGATCATCTCAAGTGAATGTTGCATTTGTACGTTTGTCGTGAAAACTGCACTTGTTTGCGAGAAACTGAATTAAGTTTCTAAAAAGGTTTTGAAAATTACTTGAGCAAAACTTTGGCTTGTTCTGTATTAATCTTTTCATCCTGAAGAATATAAGAAATGAAAAAAAATGCAATTAAGTACATTGATATATTTGACAGTTTAGCATATTTTGGACTTTCTTAGATGATCAGAGTAAAGACAATTGGTGAAAATGTTGGGTTTTGCTTAATTGAGCTTAAAACGATAAAGACTGGTAGTCGTACTCTTATATGTATTTGAGTGAGAGTTATCTTTCCTGGAGTTTTTATCCCTATTTGTCTCTTTAAGGTAGGATTCTTCTCATATTTCTTGTATTTAAAAATTAATGAAATTTTCACGGAATCAAGAGGACAATACCACTAAGTGATGGTATCAGTGAGATTAAATTTGACCGTTTAATATTAGAGGCAAGGTCAGGTCAAGGTCATTACCTTTTTCCTGGACATTAAGAATAAAAAAATACTGTTTCCAATCATGCGATCCCTACATGTAATTCAAAAGATTGAATGTTTTTATTTTTGCATAAAAAGATACTACCATATAGGGCCTATAAGATGATATGACCAAATTGACATGGATAATTTGAATGAAATAGAAATTAGCTAATCCGAATTTCCTCTACTTTTCTTAAATTTTTAGGATTTATTAGTTATTTTTATATGCTTCCTATATTTAACTTTTTCTAATTTTCACATAAAATAAAGTTGTTACATAAAGGTACAAAATGATACAAAAACTAAAAGTTTTGATCGTTTACTAAGAGAGAAATAACAATTTTTAAGGATTTTTGGCTCAAATCTGTACTTAGATTTGAAGCATTTACAAGCCAACATAGTTCTTGTATGTGTGAAAAATCTTACTTATTTGACATATTCTGAAACTTTAGTCCCTTATTATTAATTTGACTTACATTTAAAAATTTCGTCTGGTCTTTGATTGCGTAAAAATTATAACTAAATTCAATGTTTTATAATAATTTTCAGAGGCAGAAAAGAAGATATTTTCATACGCCACCATTCCGCCAAAAATATAGTCCCTTCTAGTTTTCAAACAAAGTTTACCATTTCTATTTAAAGTTGTATAATTGTGACGAGGAAAGAAAAATATGGTCTTTTAAATCTCTTACATCTAAATATATAAGACATACCAACAAATTTACTTTGAATATTCCATCTAGTCGGAAACCAGAGAAGAATCCTACCTTAACGGGACTTAACTCATATTGTATTAAGTCGGATTAATAGCAGTCTTGCTGGTTTAAATTGCGTGCAGCCAAACTTGCAGATTATGCCTTCAAATTAGATCTCGACTGGTTTAGTCATTAAAAAACGCACAATTTATCGTGTCGAGCACAAACCAGTTGCAAGCAATAAGTTATGCCCACTCCAAGTTTACGAAACAGATCAAACTAAGTAGGATGCCCGTTTCCCAGGAAACCGACCAGTCATCCGCTTTGCCAGTGGATTACATCAATAAATTCACGTTGTAAGCTTTAAATATGATTGTTTCCTTCCCAATTCTTACATCGTTGGATCAACGCTGAAAGCCCAATTAATGTTTGATTATAATCAAACTTTACTAAAAAAAGATAACAGAACAGGACTGCCCCAGAGTTTAATAACTTATGTAATTAAATAATATAGTTGAAAAACGTCTTTTTGCCTCTAAAGTGCTGCTAGAATCTCACTGTCCGTTCAGCAAAATGGTTAATCCATTTTCACGAAACCTACTCGATTTTTTAAATTTTATACATATAACTAGAGAATTTTCGTGAAACCATGCTTACTTCTGGATTCTAGCAGAACTTTCCAAGTATTTTAAAACTTAAACTTTAGATCTGTACAATTCTTATGTTTTGAAATATCCAGCTTATTGTTCTTTTCCATAATTTTTTTTTCGCTAATGGCGGAAGAAAGGCCGACAGGGATATATAAATAGTGGACTGTCTGCGAAAGAAAATATAATCGATGAAAATTAATTACCCACCTGTTTAATAAATTTTAACTCCGTATGAATGTCACAGAATATTCACAATATTTGCCTCTAAGCCGCCTTTCGTGTGTCTTGTACATGTCGTCTTACATGTAGCCAAATTCTCTTTACACAACATGATGAATAATATAGACCCTTTCACGATAACTGCTCTTTTGCAGGACAAAATGATATATTTTGGTGAAATACGACGTAAAAGCATTTGCTTAAAATACGTCATTTAATTGTCTATCAACAAAAAATTCGCCAAACGTTATTAATTTGCCCTGCAAAAAAGTAGTACCGCAGTTATCTTGAAGGGGCTAATTCATTTTCTGGAGTTAAAACATCTCTAAATACCCATATCACTAAAACTGACGTCATCTTGCCTATAATGTTGTCATATATATCTCTGATTTAGTTAGTTAGAATATTCAGAATGGCCTCTTATTACTAGTACTCCCTTCGTAATGCTTTATTCTGTGAAATACCTTGCACACTGTATCAAACTGTTTTTATCTTTTCTAAGGTTAATACATGATTTGTTTTCGTGTTGGATAATCATGTATGTGTATGTACATTAAGTATATTGTTTTTGGAATATGTACAAAGCATTTACTGGTGGGAAACAATAACCTCTCAGAGTTATTTTCTTAGTTTTTATTTAAAGTAAAAGCTACTGTTTATATTCTATATTAGTAAAAGAATAAACAGAACCAATCTGCTAGAATATGCTCACAAACTTGCTCATTACTATCAAAATCTAGATATTCATGCTTATGGCTCTCAAAATCAACAAAGATCTCCTCTATTGGTGTCAATGAGCAGAAATTTGTTCATATATAATTGCCAAAATGTACAGAATCTACTATGTACATGTATTACTATAAGATTGTGTGAACATTCCGTTCTATTCAATCTTAATATCGTTATATAGGAATCTTGTTTTGATGTTTAATTTATTGATTGATGAATTTATTGTTGAATAATTTAATTTCAGTTGTAACGCGTCATTTGATTGGTTAAACGGTTTTATCCATTTCGTATAACATAACTTGCCTACGTCACAATGAGTTACGTCAAAAACGTATTACTCCTATTGACGTTACTTTTAAATTATGCTATGTTTGAGGCCTTTTTCCGGAGGAAAAATTGTCTCATTGTCTACAATGAAATTAAATTATAAGGAATGAAGCTTATTTCAACTTATGTTATCTGATATAACATAACTTGGGACAGTTTACGCTTTTTTATAAACCGCTTCGAGGGGGTGGGGTCTTCTAATCAAGATTAGTACAATATTGATTTTTTCTCAAATAATCGGATGTGTGAAATTTTAATATAGGTATTATTTTAAAAATAGCCTAAATGGTACCTTGTTTGCAATTAATCTACACGTATTCGTCACGTTTGCATTCAGATGAGCATAATATTTATCAAATTCCAAATATAAGCTCCTAAACTCAATATATGAAATACTGACGTAGGAGGCTTGTTGGTCATATAACGTCCTGTGCATGCCATGCACAATTAAAAGCATCAATATATTTTGTAAATTTAGATTATAGAAAATATCGTGGAATACTTAATTAGGTAGAAGAGGGAGTTAATAGGCAAACATATTGGTGCGGGTATTACTGTCTTATGACAGCATCTAGTGTATTATAAATTTATTATAATCATAAATTCCCAATATTCGATAAGTATATGTTTCCGTAATTCCGTGACGTAATAGTTGAGCGGTTGAGAAGCCATAACTATGTGAGGTGAAGACAACGAAAACATGGATTTAGCAACATATTTTTTGTGATTTTGACAGTTTTATTCGTTGCCAGAATGGTTTGATTATTTCCATTTATTTCATATCAGGTCGAGAAAGATTTTTTTTACAGCAATCTTCGTTATGGGAAGGGAAATCGAGAGTTTTCCCGCACTTCTGTTATTCGTCACACTGTGACAGGATATCATTATGATATATATATATATATATATATATATATATATATATATATATATATATATATTTTTTTTTTTTTTTTTTTGCATTTTTAGGATATAATTCAGTTTTTTTCCCTTTGGTTTGCCACAATTTTAACAATCAAATTCAAAGAATTGTTGTCCCCAACTTTTGGTGTCTTTGTGGGTGAGATGTCATTTTTAAAGACATATTGTGTCTAATATGAACACCCTATCATATGTCATTTAATTAGAAATTACCATTGAAGTTGATATTTTTAAAATAAGGTCAATCAAGAAAGTCTAGGTAAAGGGGTAAGAAATCATAGCATGTTCGGAAATACACTATATTTGTCACCGGTAATGTACATGTCAAATATGAAAGCCCTATCTCTTCTCAATATAAGGAACAAAATGTGTTTGTAAATGCAACATAACAAAGATTTAACTTTTCTTAAATGCAAATGGAATATATTTAATATTACCCAAAGTAGAGTTTTCAGACAAGAAATACGATTGTGAATTACAAAATCCCTAGCACCACCTGTTCAGAAGTTATGGCCAAGGATAAATATTTGAAAGGTAGGTCAAACTCCAAGGTGAAAGGATCTCAGTTGTTGATATCTTAAGAAAGGTCACAAGTAATACATATGTGAAGGATGAAAACCCTAAACCTGACCTTTCAATAGTTATGGCCAAGGTGAAAGTTTTTGAAAAGTAGGTCAATCTCCAAGGTCAAGGTCAATGGGTCAAAGTTGTTGATATCCATTGAAAGGTCTTCTCACAATGATTACATATGTGAAGTATAAAAGCACTAACCTTTACCATTCAAAAGTTATGGTCAAGATTAAAGTTTTTTTTATAAGTACGGAAATCTCCAAGGTTAAGGTCAGAAGGTCAAAGTTGTTGGTATCCAATGAAAGGTCTTGCCAAAACAAAACATATGTGAAAAATGAAAGTCCTAGTATCTACCATTCAAAAGATATGGCCAAAGGAATTTTTGTGTCAAGGTCAAGGTCAAAAGGTCATATTTAGTGGTTCTCAAAGAAAAGTCTTGTCACAAGGAATACATATGTAAAATATGAAAGTCATCGCTCCACTAAATCAAAAGTTATGGGCAAGATTAAAGTTTTTGTGACGGACGGACAGCTAGACAGACTAACAGACTGACGAACAGACGGACAGACGAATGAGATTTAATGTTCATTCGCTTTCGCGAAAACAGGGGACAATAACAAAAACAAACCGAGAAACATTTATGAATGAATCACTTTGCCTGGCGACTAAAACTGTTTGATTGTATGTATATCCTTCTTCAGATCCTTTTGAGATAATTTGAGCTGATCTAACATTTTGCGCCAATCTGAATCCAGATATACATTTGAAACTTTCTCTTGGTTAATCTTTTTTCTATGGTAAAATGCCTTAGATTAATATCAGAGTATCTTTTCTATGATTGACATATAAGGATAGAAAATTAGTAAGAGCAAAATAAAAATGCATACACATATAGTACCTAAACCATTTCTCGTCCGTAGATAACAGTGTTTTACATACCCTAGCTGTCTTAATTGTCGTTCCACTCATTAATTCATAAAGAGTAAAGAAGAACCTATGCATATGTATACGATGTAAATAACATTGCTAAAACACGGCACATGTACATGGAAAATGTGGCTAATGAGCCTCTTCTTTCGAAAGTAAATACACTGTGTATTCAAAGTATGTTTTAAGATATGTACTTTTTTTTTGCTTATCAGTCACATACATATAAAGCAATTACTCATTGCATATCTTCTTTCCAAGTTTCCTGTTATTCAAGGGTCATATCACAAACAAGAGTTCAACGCATGCAGCTACCTATTATAAGCTGTGTGGTGTATAGGTATCAGCAAAATGAAGGAAAACTGATACTCAGGATTTTTTTTTTCTTTTTTGGAAGAAGAAAAAAGGGAAAAAAGTATTCAATTAGTGCTGCAATACATAAGTTGTTCAATAGCTGTTCATTTAAATATCCAATAACCCATTCGTTGATATTCAGATTCTTCAAACTGTGTGTAAAACACACGATTAAGCAATGAATAATAAAAAGATAACTCATTTAAAAATATATTTCCAAAGAACATAAAGTATATAATGTGCGCTCATATGCGTAGTATTAAGCTTTTCATGAAGTAACTTACTAGCATTATACAACATTGAGCTTGACCTTGCTTTTTCAGTTTTAACACACACTTCTGCAGTATGATGTGCATGCGCAGATATTTACATATTACTAGACCTTGCTTCACAGTTTTCATCTATGATTTGATTTTAAACATAGTAACTTTTGTAGAAAATGAACCACTTTGTCCCGATTTTCAAACTTTAACCGTGAACACAAGTCCTTACCGCTATTTCTATAAAATATTTTCACTTCCTGGATTTGGTACCTCACACCGAGATTAACCCGCAACCATGCTTTTGACTGACCGTCATCAGTGTGTGAACAATAAAGGATGTTCTGACGAAGATCGCCATCGTTTGCTCTAGCTGGATAGTTGTGATCAAACATTGTACTTAACTCAACATAACTCCCGGGCTTCATCGCTAAATTTTCTGCATAGATCAAATATGAGGTTTGTAAAATCATGATTATGAAACAGAAAGAAATACATCAATATTCGGCATAACTAGTGAATGCATTTGAAAACAAATCCATTGTTCTGACAATAGCATCATTAAAATATTTTTCAATATCCTGTTGTATTTTTGGAATTATTTATCATTATTATAATAAATGTACGTTTAACATTTACAAATAATCTGGGAGCAATAAACCCCATATGCAGGTAATAATACATTATTTCTATATGCAATAGGGATATTGTATTTACGGTGTTCATCATAACTTGAAATTGTAGTTTGTGATATCTAATAAAGCATGCTACATGTGCTACTAGGAACAGATTTGTAAGACCCGGTTGTGTCTGAATTAAAGTAAGAGATTGAGAGTAAAAAGAATTGAAAATAACTACTTTGATCGATATCTTAAAGACCTCATGAAGATTTTTTGTTAAATAATGTTTCATTCATGATATTCATGTTTAGTAAAACGAGCTCAATTTTTACATTTAACAAGATGTGTTTGTGAAACACTATGCGCCCGGCGGCAACAAAATTAAAATCTAGTTTTAGTATACGTCACAGTCAAGGTCACGAGGCAATTGACCTTGGTGTCATTTGAAAAAAAACTTGACTGGTAAAGTATGATTACAGAATATGAAGTCTCCATCTCTTGTAGTTCAAAAGTTATGGCAAAGGTACGAAAAAAAATATTTTTAGCATTCAGGTCACAGTCAAGGTCACAAGGTGTCATTTGAAAGAGATTAATTAGTGGAGTATGCATACTAAATATGCAGTCTCTATCTTCTATGGTTCAAAAGTTACGGCAAAATACGAAAAATCTATTTTTAGCAGACAGGTCACAGTCAAGATCACATGGTCAGTGACCTTGATGTCATTTGAAAAAGCTTAATTAGTGGAGTACGCATACCAAATACGAAGTCTCTATCTTTCATGGTTCAAAAGTTATGGCGAAGGTTAAAGTTTGCAGATAAAAAGCTATTTTTAGCATATAGGTCATAGTCAAGGTCACAAGATCATTGACATTGATGTCATATGAAAGAACTTGGTTAGGGGAGTACGCATTCCAAATATGAAGTCTCTATCTTTAATGGTTCAAAAGTTATGGCGAAGGTTAAAGTTTGCAGACAAATAAAAAACAAACTAACAAACAGACAGACAGGACAAAAACAAAATACGCCCCAGATCTATCAATCCAGGTGCATAAAAAGTATAAAAGACCTTATTAATCGGAATGCATGCATTACTGTTAAGGCAGCGGAACTTGAAAAATGGATTTTTTTAAATTTATTTTTTTTTAAATAAACTTTTGAGAAAACGCAAAGTGCATTTTTTTCATATAAAAATAAGTTATCACGAGGCGAATTTACACATCTTGATATGATACTTTTATAAATATTAATTACAGGTCCTTGTACGCAGGAAATAGCGGAAAATTAATTGATGTAATGTCATTAACTGAGAGCTTTATGTAATTTTGTATTTGAAAAACGGTCAGCTATGTTTTAGTCCAGATCCAAAAATAAACAAACAGGTTTTTCCACCCGAGATAATGTTTGTTTGGATTGTTTAGACTAGAGATTATCCCATAGGATTTTAACAGCATTATGTTTTTCATTATTAAAGTATCTATAAGATGATAAATTAAAAAAAAAATGAGAGTTACATACCGTAACAAAAATCCATTCTAAACAATATTAGAACACAAATACATATATAAAACAGGACAGCCATTTTCAAATGAGGAAGTTATAGAAAAACATTCAATTGTGTATGGGTTTTAAAACGTAAAATGCTGCAGTGCATTTAATTGAGTTGTTTCGTAACTAGGTTGATTTTTTCACGATTAATAGGGGCCTAAATAGTGGATAGCTCTTTCTATTATTTTTTAAGATTCAAGCATCCTCAGTTGGTATAAATTCAAATTTCATTAAATCATGCATCTTGAAATAGGATTGAGGGTATAAAGAACAAAAATATCAAGTTGTGCAGATTGAACGTAGTGCACACAGTGGCTTCCTGGGGTGGGGTTTGACCTTGATATGGGTTTTAAACTTTTACGCTATTTTTTTTTTATTTAAAATTTCCAAAACTTTAATTAAAATTATTAATCTTAAAACAACACAGTTATCATATGCAAGCATTTAGACGACGCATAATTCCGGAGTCGAAGTAACCATAATACTAAGGTATTGTAAAAGTAGATTATTTTTTTTTATTTTAAACGTTTTATACACGTAATTAAGAACAGTAAAAATTAACAGGTAAATTTAAACTTGCTTTAAGCTAGCCCCAAAAGGAATGTGTAAAATTTTTAATAATAGATTAATCTATTATTAGATAAGCATCTCCATAGACATGTACTACATTTAGCAGTGCAAATACAAGTTCATATTTCCAAGTTGTTGTCTACATGCTCTACGTCATATTCAACCTCTCTGGAGACCTCATGTTTGATGTTTAATGTTTATTTATTATACCTCTATTGATAATGCTCGAATTTGATTGGCTGGTAAGGAAACTTTAAAACACAACAATGACTCCAAATGGTAATGTTTACAGCAATAATGACCTAGGAATCATTGCACGTGGGATATAATGACCCGGTCATTATTATTAATGACCGCTAAATAATGACCTCTTAATCAAAAATTCCTTTTTGAGTGAAGTTAATGCATAAAATAATAATTATTCGAGAAAAACAACATGTTTTTAAAATTGTGCATGGTCTGTTTTGCATTACCATACAGAATACGGTAAAATTTTATCGTTAACGGTTTACTCATTTCAAAATACGTTCATGACGTTAGAAGCGGCTCTTTAAAGAGTTGAATTCTGTGTTAGATTTTGACTGTGTAAGGAAAAGTAATCACTAGTCATAACAGTGTATGTCTCTATCAACCAAATATTGTTTTAATCATTAAATCATGATGCAAAAACTTACACGACTTGCAGACGTCAATGTAAACAACTTCACAACTTATACGGAGTGTAGCAAATCCCGATCCCGATCAAAGAAAGAATTGAATATCATATCAGTTAAAGATTTATACTGTTCAATATATATCGGTATAATAAAACAATTGATTACCCCTTGTGAGTTCAACATGGTGAAATAAGGATCCTCGACCTAGCCCACTCGATGACCTGTTCTGACCTCGGCCGTTACGCGGCCTCGGTCAGGTCAGGTCACCTCGTGGGCCAAGTCTCAGGTCCTTATTTCACCATGTTGACTTCAAAAGGAGTAATTAATTGTATAATCTCGATCTGCCTCTAGAAATGAAAATATGTTTATAAAACATAAAGTCGGAGGTAATATACAAGTAAAAGCTTTTTTTTAAAAAATCTATTTTTCTTCCTATTTGTTAGATATTACCAAATAATTGTTACAGTTTTCGGGGAAAATGGGTCAAACTTCAGGGTGAAGAAATCAATCACGGAAAGGGCATATTCAAAAGAAATGACAGTCAAAATTAATAAAAGGTATTTTTAGGCATTCAAAAGTTATAACCTATGTAAAGGTTTTTGTGGCAGATGGTCTGACAGACAGAAAGGCACAGATCGATTTCGTAAGGAAAAGTATGAAAACTTCCTTTATCTAGTTATCCGTCCTCTTATCGCAGATTTGTTGAAAAAAGGAAATATTGCTCTGACAAAAATAGAGTTACTATAAATGTTCACTTGCATTTTCTATCTGATATTTTGTTTTAAAAGTGGTTCAAACTAGAATAAAATAACTAAAGCATCCGAGCGTCACAGGGTTGATCGTTGGTGATATATTCAAATGGATCATTAAAAGTTGTTTCTGTTTTTCATTATATTACATGTAGATTAAAAATCTTTATACCACTCTTCAAAAGTCTGATTTATTTAATAACATATATAACGTAGTCCATTTATATCTTTTTGACACAGGAAATTCTCAGTATTATGTTACTTTTTAGCTCACCTGAGCCGAAGGCTCAAGTGAGCTTTTCTGATCACATTTTGTCCGTCGTCCGTCCGTCCGTCCGTCTGTCTGTCCGTCTGTCTGTCCGTCTGTCTGTCTGTCTGTAAACTTTTCACATTTTCGACTTCTTCTCAAGAACCACTGGGCCAATTTTAACCAAACTTAGTACAAAGCATCCTTGGGTGAAGGGGAATATAAATTGTTAAAATGAAGGGACATATCCCCTCGCAAGGGGAGATAATCAAGAAAAGACAAAAATAGGGTTGGGTCATTAAAAAATCTTCTTCTTCCACTGGGCCAGTAAAGCTGAAACTTATGTGGAAGCATCCTGGGGTAGTGTAGATTCTAAATTGTTCAAATCATGACCCCCGGGGGAAGGGCGGGGCCACAATGGGGAATCAAAGTTTTACATAGAAATATATAGGAAAAATCTTTGAAAATCTTCTACTCAAGAACCACTGGGCCAGTAAAGCTGAAACTTATGTGGAAGCATCCTGGGGTAGTGTAGATTCTAAATTGTTCAAATCATGACCCCCGGGGGAAGGGCGGGGCCACAATGGGGAATCAAAGTTTTACATAGAAATATATAGGAAAAATCTTTGAAAATCTTCTTCTCAAGAACCACTGGGCCAGAAAAGCTGAAACTTATGTGGAAGCATCCTGGTATAGTGTAGATTCTAAATTGTTCACATCATGACCCCCGGGGGAAGGGCGGGGCCACAACGGGGAATCAAAGTTTTACATAGAAATATATAGGAAAAATCTTTGAAAATTTTCTTCTCAAGAACCACTGGGCCAGAAAAGCTGAAACTTATGTGGAAGCATTCTGGTATAATGTAGATTCTAAATTGTTCAAATAATGACCCCCGGGGGAAAGGCGGGGCCACAATGGGGAATCAAAGTTTTATATAGAAATATATAGGAAAAATCTTTGAAAATTTTCTTCTCAAGAACCACTGGGCCAGAAAAGCTGAAACTGATGTGGAAGCATCCTGGTATAGTGTAGATTCTAAATTGTTCACATCATGACCCCCAGGGGAAGGGCGGGACCATTATAGGGAATCAAAGTTTTACATAGAAATATATAGGAAAAATCTTTGAAAATCTTCTTCTCAAGAACCACTGGGCCAGTAAAGCTGAAACTTATGTGGAAGCATCCTGGGGTAGTGTAGATTCTAAATTGTTCAAATCATGACCCCCGGGGGAAGGGCGGGGCCACAATGGGGAATCAAAGTTTTACATAGAAATATATAGGAAAAATCTTTGAAAATCTTCTTCTCAAGAACCACTGGGCCAGAAAAGCTGAAACTTATGTGGAAGCATCCTGGTATAGTGTAGATTCTAAATTGTTCACATCATGACCCCCGGGGGAAGGGCGGGGCCACAACGGGGAATCAAAGTTTTACATAGAAATATATAGGAAAAATCTTTGAAAATCTTCTTCTCAAGAACCACTGGGCCAGAAAAGCTGAAACTTATGTGGAAGCATCCTGGTATAGTGTAGATTCTAAATTGTTCACATCATGACCCCCGGGGGAAGGGCGGGGCCACAACGGGGAATCAAAGTTTTACATAGAAATATATAGGAAAAATCTTTGAAAATTTTCTTCTCAAGAACCACTGGGCCAGAAAAGCTGAAACTGATGTGGAAGCATCCTGGTATAGTGTAGATTCTAAATTGTTCACATCATGACCCCCAGGGGAAGGGCGGGGCCATTATAGGGAATCAAAGTTTTACATAGAAATATATAGGAAAAATCTTTGAAAATCTTCTTCTCAGGAACCACTTGGCCAAAAAAGCTGAAACATATGTGCCCATGGAAGGATCATGGGGTAGTGTAGATTTCAAAATGTCTAAATTATGATCAGTGGGGTAGGGTGGGGATGCATTATGTATAACAAGGGGGGAAATCTGGTAAAGAACAGAATAGTCAAAGCTTCTCAGGTGAGCGATGTGGCCCATGGGCCTCTTGTTACATATCTTCGGGGGGGGGACAAAATTTCAAAAAAAAAACATACAGCTTACAATGTGTGTTGATCCTTTACAGGACTTTAAAAATGCATGCGTTCAAACCCCTTTAAATTCAATAGTCTGTAATGCTATATTTCGTAGACACTGGAATATTTTCCTATCCGTTATTTACCCTCAAGTGCCTGGATGTCATAAACATAAAATCAGTTTTAAAAAGTCATACTTTTTTATATGAAGTTTAAGTGATTTGATTGAATTTAACCGTTTGCAGAACCAAGTAATCTCTAACTTTAACCTAATCCATAACTTTTGAGTGGATGAGGCTATGGCTTTAATATTTCACAGGTGCATTCCTTGTGACAAGAGCTTAATTGGCTATCACCAAATTTGACCTTTGACCTTGACCTTGGAGATTGACCCACTTTAACACAAAATAACACACTTAAACTTTTGAATAGTCGGAGCTAGGTTTTTCATACTTCACATGTGTATTTACTGTGACAAGACCTTTCAGGTGGTATAAATGTTTTCGAACTTTCGACGTTGACCTAAGAGTTTCACCCACTTTTTAAAAACTTTAACTTTGGTCATAACTTTTGAACAGTTTGAATAATCTAGGGCTTTCAAATTTCACAGGTGTATTTTTTGTAACAAGACCTTTCTTTTAGTACGAACACTTTTGAATTTTGACTTAGACCTTAGGCGTTTGGCATGCATTTGAGTTATCAATAATTTAACCCTCGCCATAAGCTGCCATGCAGGAGCATCAGTGTTTCAAAAACATTTTTTGAAATGAATTTTCATGACATTTAAGATGTAGTATAAGTACTTACGAAGAGAAATCTTTAATTTTCAAAGGAAAAAAGAGATCTCATTCATTAATTATGCATGTAATTCAATTTACCTTACTTACATCACTTTGAACTTTGAACTAATGTACGTGTGTATTTCTACTGAGAAATATATTCAAGAAGTGGTGTGAATCAAATGTGGATACTCAAAAATTCCGAAGAACTTTTGGACAATTTGAAATCACAAGATTTTACCAAAATCAACAGCTGAAAAACTTATGACTTTTCAAGTTTGTACAACCATTCCCCTCGATCAATTAAAGTCCAGGATTTTTGATATCATTGACAGCTGCTTTTTTAACAAAAATGGAACTCGTAAATATACTTATCTGGTCATTGGTCATTTGCAAAATTATTTTGTTAAAACAGATTCTGATTGCACACACAAATACTCTGAAATTGACATCAAGAAGATGCTTGTGTTTTTGATTGACAATATCTATGTGGTTTTTGGACACCAGGTATTCCAACAATCTATTGGAATTTCCATGCATACCAATTGCGCTCCATTATTAGCAGACCTTTTTATATTCATATGAAGCAGAATTCGTGCAAAAATCTTATGCGTGAAAAGAAGAAAACACTTGCTGTGGCCTTCAACTCGACCTTTAGATATATCGACGACATATTGTCAATTAACAATGGTAATTTCCATTCCTACGTCAATACGATATATCCTAATGAGTTTGAGATAAAAGATACCACAGAGTCTGACACATCTGTTTTATACTTGGATATTTTACTTGAAAAAGATGTTAATGGCAATCTAACAACCAAGCTATATGATAAATTTATCTATTTATACACTGAATTGACAACGGATTTTTCCGTTTTTCCTGATCATAACATGAAGCACACGGCGGGTGTGATCGGTTGGCAGGGGATGCTCACTCCTCCATGGCACTTGATCCCACCTCTGATGTTTCAGAGGTCCTTGTTTGCTCTGCTCCTATTTTTTTTTGACAAAGAATTGTTTTATGGACTTTGATTTTGAATACTGTTCGTTATCTCCATATCCTTCTTCTGTTCATTTTCCGATGAATGTTATATCAACTTTTATGGTTGAATTACTTGACACTATATAAAGGTCTTGATACTTTGTGCGATCACATTTTATTTTCTCCATTTTGTAATGCCCTGTAAGTCAAGATTCAGAATGTATAGTTTTGCTGTATCCGTCCGTTTAACTGTTTTGTCTTATTTTCTGTTTTTCTGAAGCAACTGTAACCTTGCCGATAACTTTTGAATGGGGAATTTCTTTTTTCACACGTGGATTTTTTGTCCTTTTGACATTGTCTTTGGAGATTAGATCACATTTGCAAAGAATTTCCACTATTTAACCATGGCTATTAGTTAGAACAGTTCATGCTAATATATGCCGCATATGGACTCTTTCTTATAAGACCGTCCTTAGCTACTAACAATTTTTACCTTTTGTTGGTTTTGGAGTTTGACCTACTTTTGAAAATCTTTCACCTTGGCTATAAATTTTGAACAGCTGGAGTTAGGACCTTTGTAATTCACAAGTGTATTTTTGTGAAAAGACTTTTTCTTGAGTACATGTATCTTTCATTTTGACCCTCTGACCTTGATCTGCGAATTTGACCCTCCTTTGAAAAATTCAACTTTAACTATAACTTTTGAACCGGCGATACTAAGATATTAATATTTGACATGTATGTTCATTAAGACAACTTTTAATTGTTTCAAATGGATGTTGTATGATTTGACCAATATCTATGGAAACAGAGGTGTCCGGATAAGACAATATTCACTGTTTATATACAGTGTATTTAAAAAAATAGCTTTTTTCCCTAAATTTATATTTTAACCGCACCAAAAAATCTTTTTTTTTTCTTTTTCCAAAGCTGTTCTTACTATCCATATTCCAGGCGTGATCTCATTTCTAATACAGATCTGTTTCGTTTATATGGTCGATATATATATCTAGGTAATGGCAGTTTTCTCCCTTTGGCATTCGTCAAATAAAATTAGGGATATATCAATATCCATAACTACTCAAATGAAAACCATTTGAAGTTATTCATTGAATTTTCAAAATTCAAAGTGTTTTAAATAAAGTCAGAATGGTACAATTCTCAGATCTAGGTCTGTCCTGCTTTAAGGTGAATGTTGATTGTTTTTATGACTAAAGACTTTTACATAAGAGTCAGAAAACGTTATTACATTGTCACGTACTCTCTGAAACCTTTTTGGAGTTAGGTAACTGAATCATCAAAAAGTGTGTTAGATTGAACTATTTATTTGACAAATCTGTATTTCTGTACACGTGTATTTCCTGATACTCAGAGCTTTTAGGTGTACAAGTGATTTTGGAATAAGTATGGTCATTCCTGAATTCTATATTTTGCTCATTCAGTTGTGTTTCTTCCACACAATTCGCAGAACTTGCAGGCATACTATCTGTTTGCTCCTTTCCTCTTTGTGTGTTTGGACTTTTTCTTTGGTTTTGTACAAATTTTACCCCTAATAATATAAGGGTTACAGCTAAAAGCGTTGAAAGTATAGAAATAATTATGTATGAAGTCTTTGAAAAGCCGTCTCCTACAAAATTAAAAAAAAAAGTATTGGTATATGTTCTTTGTTGTTACATTGTATGAAGTTTTTTTTTATTCAACTATTGTTTTTAAGGTTATTGAGTTGTAAAAACTTTAATACTGAAAGTAGAAGGCATAGCTGAAAGTTTTAAAGTTATTCAGAGAATAGAAAGGTATAAGAGAGTTTTTTTTAGTCTATGTATCATATTCTTTTTTAAATATGTTGCTGATGATTGTATCATTGAAATATATAAAAATTGTATTTATCTACCGTCTATGTAAGAAGTAAAGCATGTTTTGGGTATGTCATTAATTTTTTTAATGCCCTTTCTCTATAATGAATTTAATATCTTAATGCTATATGTATTTTTTATCTAAACCCTTGCATATGTATTCTGAAGAAGTATTCCACTGATAAGAATGCAAAACCACCTATCATATATAGTACACCTATGATTCTTGTATTAAATTTCAATTTCAAATAACTATTTCAATGACCTACTTTTTCAAGTTAGTGGCCCCTGAACATTTCTCAGAAAATACCTGAATTTTTCACACTATGACACGTTTTTTTCTTCATTCACAAAATATTTAATTAAGTAAAACTATTTAATAACGAAATAGTATAGGAACAGAATAGCGTTGGTCATATAAATAAACGATTGCAGTTTAGACCATAAACTTATTAATTATCACAGACCGAATTTTGTTTGTCATATTTCTATATATTTTTTTCATATTTAACTAAAAATTACAGAAATCTGAATTATAAGAACTCTTTATCATTTTTAGCATCAGGTAACTTATGTTGCTCTTATTCTTATGGTATTAATATTATATGAGGTCAGTGATCAAATTATTGAGATATGTTGTCTGGGATAATTTTAATTCATATTTTTTTATTTCTTTATTTCATAGCATTCAATAATTTGAAAAAAAATTAGTGGTTACACACATATATATGTAAAATTTTGTAAAATGACGTTTAAAAAAATATATGCAAGATTGACATTGTAATTGATAATTCAAGAAATAAGTTTTTTGATATAAATGAAAAATGAAAAATTAAGTCCGAATTTCTTCTACATTTCTATATGTTAACTTTTGTTCCTGGGTAATTTCAAATTATAACTTTTAATTTTTTTAAATTGAAATTGAATTAAAACTTGGTTATTTTATCAATTTAGAACAATTATATGATTCAACACATTACACGTTATGAAATATCTTTTTTCTCTTCTAAAACCTGAGTAAAGGTCATCCTTAAATTCGGAACCATTGATATTTTGAAATTAAATTTTAACTTAAAATTTCAACGTAACTCAAATATTTAAAATATCATACCTGCTTTTGAGAATTCGAATTTTGAATATTCATTATAAAAATCTAAATACATCTAGTAAACATTTTTGAAATTTTGAACATTTAGATTTTTGAACTTAAATATTTAATTTCAATATACACATGATACAATTAACGGATCGAGTTTTTAAAATTTAGATTTTTTTTAATTATACGAGGGGCATTTCAAAAGTCCTAAGAACTGTTTAATAAAAAATTAACCGTTTTACGGAAATTTTTGAGTTTGATATCATTGGAAAGAGCAGAAAAATACACACATATTATGACGTCACTTTATAATTTTTATGACGTAATAACTCCGACAATGACGTCATACTTCCGCATACTTACAATACTAACCATAAAAATGACGTACAAAAGACACAATTTCATCAATGTAAAATTTTAAAAACAACTTTTGCTCATTACTCGGGTGCAAGCTATCGGACGTAAATGACAGTTGGTATAATCTTTACATAGACTACAATCTATCAGATGGTGGTCTATTTCAGAGATCTTCTTGTTCTGAAATGGTTTAAGCGATTGTCAAACATCGCATGTTTTTATAGAATCTTGCTCAAAATATTGCGTAAAACAGACCCAACTGTGAGAATAAGGCAAAGTTGCCAATCAAAGAAAAATAGACGATCGCGTTACTAAAGTTTATGGCATCAATTCGTCAGGTGTTTTAACCATATTTGTGGGATCGATGAAGGTTCAAGAGAAGTTAAGTTTAGTGTGCCCCATATTTTCTCGTAGAATCCAAAAGGCGCGGGCGCAGTTGTAACCCCACCGTACCTCCACATATTCGCAAAAATTAATTCATTGAAATTGAATAAGATTCTACAAGTCTGTATAACTTATAAACCTTTTTTGGAGTCAAAAGTAGTACTCAGTTTTGGGGCGCCGAAGTTGAATTAATGAGAAAAAATACGCATACAAACAAGTCAGGGGCAAGACTTTTGTACATTTTATTTGTCAACGATAAGAGTACTGTTACTCAAAATATATTTGTTGAAAATTTCATTAAAATACTTTAGTTTTATACAGAAAATGTTTTATTTCATAAAATGGAGAAGTATATAAAAGACCGAAAATCCAGTCGTATCATGTAACTTAAAATCTTGGATGAATGATAGCATAACCGGACATAAACCGCGCTAGTAAACAAACCAAACAAAAAAATTTAGTATTGTTGATAAACACTACCATAGTCCTAATCTTCTTCTTTGCAAATGAAAATTTTCTTTGAAACATATTTTCAAATAAACCTTTGGTAGCACTTTTAAAATTGTGCCATGTGGATAAAATCGCGAGTTTTCAGTATGCTAAACATTCTATATTCTGACGTCATTTTCGGAGATATTACGTCATAAAAATTATAAAGTGACGTCACAATATGTGTATATTTTTCTTATCTTTCTAATGATATCGGTTAATTTTTTATTAAACAGTTCTCAGGACTTTTGAAATGTCCCTCGCATATTAAAATTCTAAAACTCTGTATCATTTTAGAAGTTTGAATTGTTAAGTGTTACACGGACCAATCACCCTTTTAATATTGCTTCCAACAACAGAAGTTTTCATTTTACAACGATATTTTTGTCAATTATCAATATGCAGAATTAGATTTCTTTTTCAATTATTATATTCTTACCTGATTGTAAATCTATAATGGATGATGTAACTGGAAAAAAAAGAAAAAAAGAAATTTTCATTCATCATTTGCTTTACTTTTTTAGGCTGTTCAGTATATTTTCCTTTTAATATTCACAAAACTGCAGTTTTAATTAGGATTCTTTGAAGAAAAATTCTCAACATATCTGAGAATATTGCCTTAATGTAAACAGTTTTGAAAAGAAAAAAGACACCTTTCAAGCAAAACATTTCACTCCAGCCAGTTTCGCATCCGTCCAAGCATGACCCGTTCGTCTTCACACACGGTTTACCGTCTTTACAGTGACCACAGTCAAATACACAGTTGGGTCCGTATTTATAATCTTGACATTCTGAAAGTAATTTGTTTGACGTAATTGTACTAGTTATTGATACATAGGCCATTAACAATGTACGTTAAGCTACACTGTAACTGCATACAATAATATTTTTTAAAGTTTCCAAGGATGTTGCAGAAGGAAAATATGTTGTCAGAATGCATTGGTAAAATAACATCAATTAAAGATGCGAGAAAAGATAAAATCATTTAACAACAATTATACATTTGATATCATCATGATTTTGTTTTCCATTCAACCATCCGTGTTCCCGATGTTTTCCTTGATAAATGTCACACAACTATTATATTGACCAAGTCACTGATAGTCAAATACTGCAATTTTTATCGACCATTGTAAAAGTTTGTTGATTAAGTCTATGGTTTTGTTTATCTAGCCTAACATGTGGTGATGGTGCGACAGAACACGCTTAACTTTAATCATTAAATTTAGTGATTTTTTACAGTATATAATAACAGTATGCAGAATTATGTCTTTTCAAAACGATCAAAAATATCAAGTAAATAGTATGATTTGCTTGACTTTTTTTCACTATGATCGTATTTTTTCCTACCCAGTTTACACTGATGACCCAAGAAGCCTCTTTTGCATCCTTTGACACAGGTACCATTCTCAGCATAACAATGTCCACCACGACAATTACTGCTACATCTTTTCGAGCAGTTTGTACCATAGAAGTAAGGACTGCATTCTAAATGTACAAATATTCTTTTTATTTTTTTTAATAAGGTTAATACGGCTTTAAAAATTGCAACTGACCAATCGTATATTTATGAAACAAATCATTTTTCTAGCTTTTGATTTATTTTTTTAAAGTTTTTAAAGCAAATAAATTTGAATATGTGTCAAATTACCCTTTTATGAGCACACTTCTCGAAAATTTTTCACTCATATTGAGACGCCAGATAATTTTAATAAAATCAAAGTGTTTTATACAAACTATAACTGTTTGAATAGCAACAAACAATGCAAAGGTGTTAACAATTATGATACATGTTTCCACTTTTGATTGTTTTGAGGTCTGTGTTTGATCTGCTTCAATTTTGTTTTTTTTTAATTGACTTTTGAGCTTAAATTATGTTTGTTATCTCCAAATATTTCATTCTATTATAGTACATTATCTGACGATAATTAAAACTAAGTTTCATATAATAATCATCTACGAATACCTTAAAACTTCTGTTTTTGTATGATGAAAAAAAAAATCTTTCAGGTAAACATTAATAAAACTTACTGTCACATATATTTCCTCTCCAGTTTGGTAAACACCCTTCGTTACAAAACCCATTTGATTGATTACATCCGCCTTGAGCACAATTGGGACTACAAGACAGACTACAAAAAGGACCATAAAACTCTTCATTGCAACCAGAAACACAACGGCTATTGTTAAAGTCACAAACTGCATTTTTACACTGTAGACTACATAGTTGTTTGCAAAATAAACCATAGTATCCATTTTGACACCCATTTAGACAAGCCCCATTATTTTTTCTGCACGTTTGAGAATGACAGGTGGAACTGCATGGCTTTTCACACTTTGGACCATAGTATCCATTAGTACAGTTGTAGGTACAGTCCCCTGTAATCAAGTTGCATATCCGTGGATCACACTTTTCGCTACAGTTAATTGTACATTTATTTCCATAATAACCGCCTATACAGCCTCTGCTACATATTCCAGTGTCGAGGACACACATTTGTTGATAGCAATTTTGGCATAATCTGGTCTCACACTTATTTCCAGTGTAATTGGTTTTGCAAGCATTGCAATATCCAATTATGTTACAGTTATTTTCTAAGCAATTTGATGGACATCGTTCTGCGCACATGTCTCCCCAATAACCATCGACACACTGCACACAGTAATCTCTGTAATCACACCCACCAATGCATATTTCCGGTATGTGGCAAATTTTAAAACGTCCTTAAATCAAAATAGAAACGTTATGAATATTCAAATTATTTTAATAAATGTTTACTTTTAGAGAGTTACATACAAAAAGAATTCTTTTGTCTACTTCTCATAGTCTAATAACTAGAGGTGCATTTTACAAAATTTCTTTAAATGACTAAAACATACTCTATAGGTACAGAGTCAATTTATGTACGCCTTATTTTTTTTTTCTTAAAAAAAATGAAAACATGGGTCTCTCAAAGATGTAACGAATCTTTTTGGCTAAAAAATTAGTTATCCACGTTTGTCTGAAATTCAAATAATAAGTAAATATTTACAGGGCTGTAAGGGGGGACTGAAAATATTATTACTGCTGTTCATAAGGTATAACTGAAAATTATCTATCTAGTTCTATTAAACATTCAATATATAGTCTGTGGTTGTTTTGCATAGCAAAATTCATTTGTCAATTATAAATGATTATTTCAGTACTTATCTCAAATCTAATCCAAGTAATTTGATGTACGGTAATTATTTAGTTCAAGACTTAAAAGGTTTAACCAGAATATAAATTTTTTATGCGTACATTTGTACGTTTTAACACTCATGCGGAGAAAGGCCATCCCCTGTTTAGATTTACATTTAGGCATTTTTTTAGGTGGAAGGGGTGGGGGGCAGAGATAATTGACGTTACCGTTATCATAATATTCTTGGAAGACAGAAATTTCTTCCGAATTCAATTTTGAGATTTTTTTTTTGTCTCCCACCGATCACAAAGAATGTACATTTTGAGGAATGTGGCTGATTTATAATTATGTAGTTACAGGAAGTCTTTCGAGATATCAGTATCCCTGACTAACAGTCTAGCTATTTTTTTTTAATAAAAATAATTTCTGTGGGAATATTTGGGTGATAATGTTAAAAGCTAAGGTAGGGATACTTATAACCTGGATGAATACGGATAATTTTTAATTTCTCTCTCTCTCTCTCTCTCTCTCTCTCTCTCTCTCTCTCTCTCTCTCTCTCTCTCTTATTACCATGCGTTATCGAAATCATAAGTATAAAATCCTATGCACTTTGTGCTGTACCATTTACTAGCCCTTGGGACAGATCAAGGATTTTTTTTTCAGGCGGAGATGTCGAAACTTGTTCAAAATGAGGAATTCTGACTGGCAATCCCCCCCCCCCCTATATGTTTGACTTTTAATCATTTATAATTCCAATCTTCATTTTATGTATTGATTTCCTGTGTTTTGATTGGACGAGAACACGTTTAAGAAAACAATTACACATCGATAAAATTTTTCAATCAGAACTACTTTCTTGATAAAGCTTCTAGGTTATCATATAAACAATGATTGAATGAAAGCAGTTATTTCTGGTCTGTTTTGGCTAAATTATGAATACAAAAAAATACAAATTTAATTAATTAAAACAAAACTGGCGACAAACTGGATTCCCCAGCTGACGGACGCCATGAAAATGTTTATGTCACTTCCGATCACCATGCAGTGTGAATTTAAAAAAAACGCTGTCTCGACGTTCATAATACGAAGAAAATTAGCTCAGTTTGTATCGTTTTGACAGGGAAACGAAACGTACCTCAAACTCTTGCCATATTAGCATCAAATTCATATTTACTTTCTATATTGTTCCGCAATCTTTTAACAAACAAGTGCAAATCGAAGGCGTCGTCGGTCTGCAACTTTCGCTATGAGAGTTGTCGTTCATGTCAACATGGCCATGGTCAAGGACGATCTATTCTGAAGAAAACTCGTAATTACGATATTTGTTGACTTAAACAATATTCGATGAGTCTTTATAAGTTTCTTTATCGATTGTTTTGACAACTTAAAGATGAACTCTATCGAAATGCATCTCGATTACGTTCCTTTGCGATAAAATGTATTCCTACGCCGTCCAGAAATAACGGATTGTATGGAGGCCTCAAAGAGAAATAATTGAAATATTTTTTTAAAATTCGATATTGGAATTATAAGAATTAAACGTTCTTTTTGAAAAATTTATCGATGTGTAAACTCTTGACATTTTTTACTCACAAACTTAATATAAAAGTGCTTCGCACTTTTATTTAGTTTGTGAGTAAAATGTCAAGAGTTTACACATCGATAAATTTTTCAAAAAGAACGTCTAATCCTATAATATTGTATGTAAAAAAATATATTTAACATTCAATTCTATTTTGACCATTCATGAACCTTAGAATCAAACTCGTTTATTGAATTATTAAATTATTAAATAACTTAAAATCAAGTTATACTAGATCTATATTTTTAAAAAAATAAGAAAGCCAGTACACAGTATTTATTTGAAAATAATTGATCATAAAAACATCCGATCTTTCTCAGACGTTTGTTTAAATTATTTTTAGGAGAGTGTTATGCATGTTTCATTACCCAACCCCGTCCTCCTTTCAGTGGAAAATCTCTTCAAAAGATGAAAGATTCGTTATGATGCATGCTAAATAATAAATTTGATGTAGTTTAGCCATGTTCATAAATTATTTACAACATTTACAGACAAGAGTAATATTTATTTTGGAAAAATAATATTTGCATTTTTTTCATCATCCAAAGTACCAGTTAGCTTTCCATCTTTGAAATTTTCCCTGACCAAATTTAGCAATGTAGTGACAATTATTAGCTCACCTCAACGAAGTTGGGGAGCTTATGTAATACTCTCGGCGTCGGCGTCGGCTTCGGGGTCCCAGGTTAAGTTTTTGGAACAGTTTTCTTTTTTAGTTCTTCTATGTCCTATATTGATTAGATATGCATGGAAGATGCTTCTTATGAGTTTCGTTGTACCAGTCAAAGTTTCAGATGATGCAATTTCAGCAAAGGAATAACCAGATTAATGTTTTTGGAGCAGGTTAACATTTTTGGTCCAGTTTTTGGTGTAGGTCTCATTTCCAAGGAACTATAAGCCATATGTTGACCAAACTTACATGGATGGTACATCAAAGGATGCACATTACCAAGCTTGCTTCGGATGCTGAATCTGACCTACATTTCCTGTAGGATGCTGCAGATGCTGGATTTTGATCAAATTTTCGTGATGAAGAACTAGTTTGAAGATTTTATATAGGTCTATTCCAAAGTATTAGATCAAAATTGCATAAATTTTGCACTTTTAGATGTACATTTTTTGTTGGGTAATTGTTTGACTTTGCCTTACTTAAAGACAACATTCGTTGAGGTGAGCTCCGTAATCTCTGATTACCTATGTTTTACTGTTGAGTTAGCAGTGGATTACATGACTTTTGAGATGCATATTTCAATAAAAGTAACATACGATATTTCTTTCCACATGTGTATATCCCTGTAACGGTAACAGTATTCAGGTTTTTTTTTTATAACTGCGTTTTCTCGACTTGCATGCTTACATATCCAAACGGTTTTTGCTGTACATGAATGTATTCCGTATTAGTGTTATTTTTTTCTTTATTGCAGCAAATGCATTTAAAAAATAATTTACTTCTCAGAAAAGTTCTAGTTTTTGTTGGATTTTTACTTTTAAAACATGTATTTGGTCAGTTTATGGATTTCTAAAAACTATGCTATCATAGATGTGAACATGTCGACAACCAGGCTAGAAAATCACCCAAGTGAGACAAATGTACAAGGATTTATATAGCAGGTACAGGTGACAAAAGAATTTCAAATAAATATGGTGGAATCGAGGAAATATGGCGGACAAAGGCGTACAGTAATGCAGTAAGTCGTACAAAGATGAAAAGATGAAAAAATATGCTTTGTTAGGAAATCATGTCAGCTTACAACAAGTGAAGCTGTGCGTTCCTTGAGAGGGATCCTCTAAGGGGTACAGATAGAGTTTACCTTTATGAGTTAACTATACATGTATTCATTGAAGAAGTAATTCTACAGCAACATGTTATTACTATGTTTTGAAAGATTTTATCTATTGGTTAATATTTTTCTTAATTTTTTATCAAAAATAAAAAGAGCTTAATCTGACTTTTCTTGAGATGTTTATGAGATATTTATGTTGTGCATTTATTGGCAGCAAACTTTAACTGTAAAGGATCTAGTTTAAAATTAAAACAATATTTTCATTTTATCTTTAAAAATAAAGTCCGCAAAATGTCAACCTTTCCATATTTAGACATATTTAATAAAATTGTCTTTAAAGAACTGTTAAAGAAAATTTCGGTAAATGTGTAAGTAGCATTCTTTCTTAAACAGGAATATCTTAAAGAGAAAAAAAACTATTGAACATATGCCATTACTCTTTAAATTCTAATACTGAGTACATCATAGATGTACATGTATCAAAAAAAGAACTTTGCTTTAGATAGTTTTTAATTAAGTATAGTTTACATAAAATATTGTTTTATGTGAAGAAATATTTCTTCAATGCTTTAAATTATGGAAAGTTCTTAATCTTTAGTTCATATATGTTACATTTAAGAAATCACTGTCTAGTTAGAAGACTATGCCAGGGCATCAATGTAGAGCTACTTATAATGCATCACTTGTTGATGGTCATCCTATGAGATATTGTGAATATTTATTAATCTAGCATATTATTCAATAGCCAACCAGTTAAGAGTAAATGAGTAGTTTGAATGAGTTCAGGGAATAAACCAAAACAGCTCATGAAATCAATTCCAAAATTAGGGTACCTTAAATACTTGCCTTCTGGTTTCATCAATTAATTAGCTACTTGTAGAAAAAGATTGAGATAAAAATCATGCCTTTATATTTGAAATACCCTTACTAGTAACTACTTGTAAAATGTTTATAATTTATTCATGTGTACTTGACATGACCTACACTAGATCCTGAAAATACTAAATCTTATCCGATACCCCCACACCCTGTATACTGTACATTCTATTGTCAGATTGCCTCAGATAGAGCACTCCCTGCATAATACACTCTTCTACTGAAGACTCTATTCAATTTATACTTTTCCCGGAGTTATTTTCGACCCAAGAGTCATACACTCTCTTGCAATAAAATTTCTTTTGTTTCACAAATTTTGAATGAGTTGCATGTTTCTCACCAATTCATGAGGTACATGTATGCATTTGTGTCTAAAGTTTCAGTAACATTTTGAACCTAAGTTTTCTTGTATTCTTATTTAATGTAAATATTCGATGTCAAAAATCTAACAGCTCTCACCATTTTATAAATTAAAAATATCAAGACTATGGTAAAGCTTATGTAGCTATGAGTTATTTTAAGTAAACTGTTAAACATTCAAGGCAAGCATACAAATGATAAGCTCAAAATTAAAACACAAGTACAAGTATTTAGCCTGAATATTATTATATACCAGTATACCGGTATGTTTTAAATTGGCAAATAAATCGCCTTTAGAAGTAGAGACTAGGAGTATTAGATAAAGAGTGCATGATTCTGTTACTATTTTGATCACACAGAACACTACAAACTTTAAATACTTACCCATAGCTGAAAGAAAAAAGTAGTTATGTCAATAAGCTTTAAACACGAATGCATGATCAATCCCTGCACTTATTGATCAATGATCTGTCAGTTTCTGTAATTATCAAATCTATTTCCCTTATTTACCGAAACCCCAAAATATTTTTAATCATACCAACAAGTAAATAGAATTATTAAATCCTTGCTACATCATGTAGTAAAGATAGACCTAGAAGTTATCTTAGATCTATATTTAAAAAAAAATAAAGCCAGTACATAGTATTTATTTGAAAATAATTCATCATAAAGACATCCGATCTTTTTCAGACGTTTGTTTAAATTATTTTTAGGAGAGTGTTATGCATGTTTCATTACCCAACCCCGTCCTCCTTTCACTGGAAAATCTCTTCAAAAGATGAAACAATCGTTATGATGCATCCTTAATAATCAATGTGATGTAGTTTAGCCATGTTCATTAATTCAGTTCATAAAACATTTACAGACAAGAGTAATATTTATTTTGGAAAAAAAATATTTGCATTTTCTCCATCATCCAAAGTACTAGTTAGCTTTCCATCTTTGAAATTTTCCCTGACCAAATAAAAGTAAAATACGATGTTTCTTTCCACATGTGCACATCCCTGTAACGATAGCAGTATTCAGGGTTCTTTTATAACTGCGCTTTCTCGACTTGCATGCTTGCATATCCAAAGGTTTTTGCTGTACATGAATGTATTCTGTATTAGTGGGTTTTTTCTTTATTGCAGCAAATGCATTAAAAAAAATTTACATCTCAGAAAAGTTCTAGTTTTTGTTGGATTTTTACTCTTAAAGCATGTATTTGATCAGTTTATGGATTTCTAAAAACTACGCTATCATAGATGTGAACATGTTGACAACCAGGCTAGAAAATCATTAAAGTGAAACAAATATACAATGCTTTATATAGCAGGTACAGGGTACAGGTGGCAAAAGAATTTCAAATAAATATGGCGGAATCGGGGAAATATGGCGGACAAAGGCGTACAGAAATGCAGTAAGTCGTACAAAGATGAAAAGATGAAAAAAGATGGATGATTTTTTAGGAGTTCATGTCAGCTTTCAACAAGTGAAGCTGTGTGTTCCTTGAAGGAACCCTCTAAGGGGTACAGGTAGAGTGTACCTTTATGAGTTATCTATACATGTATTCAATGAAGAAGTAATTCTACAGCAACATATTATTACTATTTTTTGAAGATTTTATCTATTGGTGAATATTTTTCATAATTTTTTTTTTTCAAAAATAAAAAGAGCTTTATCCGACTTTTCTTGAGATGTTTATGAGATATTTACATTTTGCATTTATTGACTGCAAACTTTAAACTGTAAAGGATATAAATTGCAATTCAAACAAAATTTTCATTTTATCTTTAAAAAATAAAGTCCGCAAAATGTCAACCTTTCCATATTTAGCCATATTTAATAATATTGTCTTAAAAGAACTGTTAAAGAAAATTTCGGTAAATGTGTAAGTAGCATTCTTTCTTAAACAGGAATATCTTAAAGAGAAAAAAAAACTATTGAACATATGCCATTACTCTTTAAATTCTAATACTGAGTACATCATACATGTACATGTATCAAAAAAGGAACTTTGCTGTAGATAATTTTTAATTAAGTATAGTTTACATAAAATATTTTTTATGTGAAGAAATATTTGTTTCAGTGCTTTTATTTATGGAGAGTTCTTAATCTTTAGTTCATATATGTTACATTTAAGAAATCACTGTCTAGTTAGAAGACTATGCCAGGGCATCAACGTAGAGCTACTTATAATGCATCACTTGTTGATGGTCATCCTATGAGATATTGTGAATATTTATTAATCTAGCATATAATTCAATAGCCAACCAGTTAAGAGCAAATGAGTAGTTTGAATGAGTTCAGGGAATAAACCAAAACAGCTCTTGAAATCATGCCAAAATTAGGGTACCTTAAATACTTGCCTACTGGTTTCATCAATTAATTAGCTACTTGTAGAAAAAGATTGAGATAAAAATCATGCCTTTATATTTGAAATACCCTTACTAGTAACTACTTGTAAAATGTTTATAATTTATTCATGTGTACTTGACATGACCTACACTAGATCCTGAAAATACTAAATCTTATCCGATACCCCCACACCCTGTATACTGTACATTCTATTGTCAGATTGCCTCAGATAGAGCACTCCCTGCATAATACACTCTTCTACTGAAGACTCTATTCAATTTATACTTTTCCCGGAGTTATTTTCGACCCAAGAGTCATACACTCTCTTGCAATAAAATTTTTTTTGTTCCACAAATTTTGAATGAGTTGCATGTTTCTCACCAATTCATGAGGTACATGTATGCATTTGTGTCTAAAGTTTCAGTAACATTTTGAACCTAAGTTTTCTTGTATTCTTATTTAATGTAAATATTCGATGTCAAAAATCTAACAGCTCTCACCATTTTATAAATTAAAAATATCAAGACTATGGTAAAGCTTATGTAGCTATGAGTTATTTTAAGTAAACTGTTAAACATTCAAGGCAAGCATACAAATGATAAGCTCAAAATTAAAACACAAGTACATGTATTTAGCCTGAATATCATTATATACCAATATATCGGTATTTTTTAAATTGGCAAATAAATCGCCTTTAGAAGTAGAGACTAGGAGTAATAGATAAAGAGTGCATGATTCTGTTACTATTTTGATCACACAGAACACTACAAACTTTAAATACTTACCCATAGCTGAAAGAAAAAAATAGTTATGTCAATAAGCTTTAAACACGAATGCATGATCAATCCCTGCACTTATTGATCAATGATCTGTCAGTTTCTGTAATTATCAAGTCTATTTCCCTTATTTACCGAAACCCCAAAATATTTTTAATCATACCCCCAAATAAATAGAATTATTAAATCCTTGCTATATCATGTAGTAAAGACAGACCTAGAAGTAGAAGTGAAAAGTGCAGGAATAAAAAAAATAATTATGTGAATAAATGCCACGGGATACATCCATGTCCTTAAAATCCCAACCCAGATAGCAAGCTTACGTTGGCCCAATGTTGGACCACTGTTGTAAGTTACGTTGGTCCAATGTCGGAAAATGACGTTGGGCCAATGTAATTTTGCTCATCGGCGCAACGTTGCGCCGACATGTTGGAGCAACGTTGGCCCAATGTCATAGAACGATAATTATTAATTAATTAAATACCCTGCTCTTGATTCAGATTGTACTGTGTCAAATTTATTGTAAGATATGTGCACCAAAAACAATTTTTGCTCTCAATGACCAAATAAGCTAAATTTGATCGCCATTGAATTTCCTTTTCTACCGAATTTGTTAAAAAAGGAATGTATTACTATAAATAGATTAATGTTTCTATCATAATTATTACTTAAACATTGAATGAACTAGCTTTATGAATATTTAAAATAATAAACAATTAACAAAAGTCTTTGAACCGCCTTCCAAACTATTTTTGTTATTTTGCAAAGTTTTGAGGGAGATAAAAGCATTGACTGAAGTATTATATATTTCTGTACCTGCAAGTATCAAATATCGGATATGTGACAATAAAAGGCGCTTACATACCGTAACAATAAATGTATCTGGTAAGCCAAAAAAACCACATCCAACTGAGTGCAACCATCTTGACAAAAAGGACGTAAAAACGAGGTTTCGTTTTGAAAATTTCAGAAAAAAAATTGATAAAAAGTCTGGCTGTCAAATTATTTAATAGAGTACATGGATATTGAAGTATTTATGCAGATGTTCCTTTTAAACATGTACAGACGACATAGTGAGTTTTTTTCCTTATTGTGTGTAATTAATAGTACTTCTAAAACTTAATATTTCCCCATTTACCTATTAGATGGGATTTTCTTTTCCCAAATATGTCATTAGTGTTATCAAATGTTCTTATCAATAAAAGAATGATATCGATATCTTTATTTTTCATGCTTAAGTCAATATGTTTCAAATCAATATATTTTAAAGTCGTTACATAACTTTAAGCTTTACGATCCAGCACACAGAAAAAGCGCCTTAATTAAAAATGAAATACACATGTATATGTAATACAACATATGAATGAAAATTAAGAAGACATTATAACTAGGGATGTCAAATCGGTCAATATTTAATAATCGGTTACTCGGACGTTTTTCCGATCAGGTACCCGGGTACTCGGTAAAATTGTTAGTACAAGTTTGTTAATTTTTTTAAACTCAGGTAAGCTCTGTTAAACCCCAATGTTGTTTTGTATGACGTTTTAAGCGCATGTTTAAAAACATCGAGTTCAACGAAAAGAGTTTATTGTACTTAATTTATTTATTTAGCATAAAAGACATCAATTTGATACACCAATAATTTCAAATGATTTACAGATCTTGTTTTGGAAGACGCTTTAATCAATCTGCTACACACTTTTGTAATGACCACACTACGGAAGCAGAAGGAACGAACGTTGTTGGAATGGGTTGTGATATATGTATATTATTATTGTCCAGTATACGTTAAATTTACTCCACAAAGCTGATTGTAATCATTTTTTTTCAATCTTCAATTTCACGCATTCCCAAAATATTTCTTTACATTTTTAAGTCGGTAGCGAGATATTTATGCATGCCAGATTTAGGTACCGTTTTCTAAATAATTTAAAAATGATTTAAAGATAAAAGCATATAGAAAACGATCCTCACTGAAAATTAATCATTGAAGCCAACCGCAAAATTAGGATCACAATAGGTGAGAAAAGCGGTGTAACAAGAAATTTGTCACTAATTAATTTTAACAGATTAATAGATTTTATGTAGATAAGGCTATAATGAGGTAAGACAACGTACAAAAAATATAACACAACACATGTGTAGAGATTTTACACTTCGTAGAGAAGCGTAGAAAAAACGTAATTTAAATATCAGTATCCCTTGATTTCAATGTCTCACCAAGTTTTGACTTAAATGCTACAAGTTCTTCTTCCTGTTCCGCTTCAGGATATTCGATGTACGATTGGCTTTCAACAAGGTCCATCAAATGTAGAGGAATTTTCTTCAGTACGTTTTTTCTCCAAAACTACCAAGAACAAAACATTATTGCCATTGCGAGAATAAATGGCTTCCATTCGTGCCATGTTTAATTCAAACATACACCAGTACGATTTAAGAAAGTGTGACGTCATAATGATAATAATAATAAAATCTCTGTGGTGAATACATAACTGTGATTTGTATTCATTCTCGAGCTGTTTGACAAGTTCAATTACAAATTGTGGATCTTCTTCGACGTTGTAAAATAAAAGCATCAAAACTGTAGGAACTAGAATCAAAGTTCTGAAAGTTCTCTTCATTTGTGTACTTATTTTTTGCGACGTAATATAAATATCAAGCTGCCATTAATATCTGTAAACAATTCTACTCGCAATTACAGTAATGGCAGAGATGATCAATGACGTCACAATGATTGTAGTTAGAGTGTACGAAGAACATGTTTCTAATTTTTCAAGTATATTCTTCGTATTATCTAAAGGATATGCTGCAAAATTGCCAAATGCGCGGGTATAATGTTCAAAAAACAAAAAATGAAGAGACTCAGCACTGTACATCCATTGAATGAAATAAAGATTTCCACACGAACACTAGTACTTTAAACGATTGTCACTCAAATTAACCTGAATTAGTTTAGATATTGATATCCTAGTTCACGCTTCTCTCGTATCTGATTCAAGACCTGCTAACTGATTATAAGAGAGATCTAACGAGGAAAAACTTTTAATATGTCCAATGTGCACTTGAAATTTACTAAGCGAATTATAGCGTAGGGACAAATGTTTCAATTTTTTGTTGCTTAACAACACCTTTTCTGAAAGGCGATATATTCTGTTATTAGATAAATCAATGGTTAATAAATTTGTTCGTACAGATAAAATCTCTCCATTTCTATCATTTTAAAAAACCTGTCCCAAAGCATTATTAGAAATATTCAAGAATTTAAGTCCTGAAAACGATTTCAAAAACGATTTTGATATAAAACCACAAAAGTTACCGGAAAAATCAATGTAATCAATTTGCTCTACACCTGTGACAGGTCCAATGACTTCATAGATAATATTTCTTTGTCCATACACGAGTTAAATTAGCAATATGGGCTAAAGGAAATTGGGGAAAAGACATTTTATATAAATTGTCATGAAAATGAAATTTGCGTAGGTTTGGTGGAAGTAAACCGTGTAGTTGAAATCTCGTTAGAAAACTATCTATCTCAGGAAGGACTTTGTCAACAGAGGATGCACTGTTACAAGTTCCATGTAAGTACAAGTCAGAGTTTGGCTTTCTTCGTGTATCATTGCACTTAACAAAGAATTTGCGATTATTGAGAACTTGATGAAATGTGGATTGGAAATAAGGTTGGAACCTCTAACTTGTGTTTATGTATATATATATATATATACTGAAAGGAAAAAGAAACGCATATTTTACTTTTAAATTAAATTAAAACTATTTTTTCGAAAATGTTTTCCAGTATTGTTATCAAACATTTTAATTCATCTTTAATCTACAAGTTACCAAAATCTTGTGTGACTTTGACTGATAATTCCTGATTTATTGAAATTGATATGTCGATACCCCCCAAAATTAAAATAAAAATTCTCATCATCTCCCTTGCACATTTTTTACAGCCTTGATTTTCCTGTGCATTGAGTTCACCAGAGCATTTATCTTTCTCATTTGATTATTATTCAACGCTTCCCACAATAGTCTTAATGGTTGATAGAAGCTGTATTATTCCAAAGCCAACAAATCCCCCCGCCAAATGAGTGCCACGAATTTTCATTTTAGGATAGAATTTACAGAATCCAGCTGGTTTGGTACACGTGAATGCTTGTGAGAAAGTCTCGACAAACACTGGCTACATTTTCCGAGTGTGAACATGCTAAAAACGTTACGCACACGACGCGTACGTGCGCGCGTGAGAGTAAAATCGACGTAAAAGTTGCCTAGCTCGCGGACCAAATTAGAGCAGAGAATTTCTGTCAATTTTAGGGTGAAAATATTGGTATGATAGTTTGCTGTATAAATATCGGTTTCAGTGATAACAGCTTGACAACAACCGAGGTGACATGATGAAAAGCCCTGTCTTGATGTGACGTTGTTACGCGTCAACGTCACCGCCATCGTTGGTTGGAAACCTTTTAATTTACTCTCTGACAACTGAAAAACCCTTTTTTGTTGAAAAGTTTAAAACAAACTGCACAGCAACATCTTGTTGCCTTTTTTTCACTTACGCAATTCAATTACTGGAACCAGTGTAACTTCCGTCAACCCATACCATGATTGCACGAAATTTATACTGATTGCAAATGCGGAAAACGATGTCTATGACTCCAATGCATCGATTAGCACCACAAAATGTGATCATAAAATTGTCATCATCAACATGCACGTGTTTTTCGCTTTTTATCATTTCCCCTACGTGACTCCATACATTTCATGGTTGAGTAATTTTAACCAGCAATTTTAGTGCACAGTAACCAAAATACACATTTGACAAATTTTCATAATTTCGGCCATATAGTTAAATATATTTCGATATTATGCTATTATGCGTTTCTTTTTCTTTTCAGTATATATATATATATATATATATATATATATATATATATATATATATATATATATATATATATATATATATATATATATATATATATATATATATATATATATATATATATATATATATATATATATATATATATATATATATATATATATATATATATACATGTATATATATATCAGAAATGTTGAACAACGGTTCCACATGAATTATTGTTCAGAAAAATCTCCGACGTACCTTAATTTTTTTTCTTTTAGAAATAAAAACAGATCGCTTCGATAATTTTTACATTGATGTTTCTAACAACACCATCGAAAGATTGAGATGTTATACGGATAATATACCAGGCGTACCGGCAGAGATTGATACTATAACGTGCCCACATATTGCCCAGTATGTAATCGTGGAAACTACTCATTCCTCACATGGCGGTGTTTACTTAGAGATAGCTGAAATTCAAGTCTTCGGTAATCATTTCTCTCCCTATCTCTCTCTCTCTCTTTCTCTCTCTCTTCCTCTCTCTGTGAGGGTGAGGGTGTGTGTGTGAGGAAGGGTGTGTGAGGAGTGTGTGTAAGGGTTTGCTTGTGGTTGTATGGAATAGATGCAGTGTCTTGTGTACTTGTCTTATCTTGGATATCAACAAAAAGATTAGTATTTATTGTAAATTAATTATGTTTAGTGTCTGTGGAGTTTTAAAATTAATAAATTGTTGGTATTTTTGTTTTAGGATGCACCATTCAGACGAACAACTACCCATGTCCTACTGGTAAGTTGAAGTTAGCAAGGCATTAAAATTATAGTAAAAAAAAATCCCTAAATTGTAATTATCTAAAAGTCATAGTTTTCTAACAATTTGCACACACCAAAATGTAATATTTTTGTCCAGTAAATTGTATTTAACATAAATGTACCATGATTTATAAAAGTAACAGTAAGCTGAAAGACGCTTTACGAACGTGTCTTGTTATTCACATAAATGGCTTATAATTACTCATTTTCAAGACAAATTGGGTGTCTGTTCTTTTAAGTATTTTAGCTATCTTCTCTTTGCTAACTCAAATTTCGTCAATGAAATGATAAACAAGTTACAATAAGCGGATCAAGAATTCTGACAAGAATTGAGGTGGGAACACAAACATGACGTAAAGGATACATTCGAATTCCAAATTGACAGGACAAATTTTTTTTTTTTTTTTTTTTTGAAATGCGTGTTAAATATTTATCAGTATATAAATGCAATATTGTAGTACATATCTATCTACAACGGTACAACCTAACAAAATGTTTTAAAAAGAGGGTTGGCTAAAAGTACGAAATACTCATATTTCCCAGGACGGTCGGAATTACTGGTATTTTACGAGAAAGACCGGGAAATAAGAAATAGCTACATATAAGTGCCTGGGTCAACACACCTTATTGGCTAACATAACACACCTGCTATCACTATCCCTGATTTAAAAACTTCTGGTTCCTTTAATGTAGTACTTCATTTCCAATAATATTAATCATAACAGAGTATACTGATATGCAAGTTATGAGTGTCACGTGTTTCATGCTGAAGTCAGATGAAGCCTATAAATGTCCATGAAATGAACCTTAAGGTAGGATTTTTCTCACATTTCTTATATTTATAAAATAATGAAATTTTCACAGAATGAAGAGGACAATATCACTAAGTGATGGTATCAGTGAGACTAAATTTGACTGTTTAATATTAGAGGCAAGGTCAGGTCATGGTCATTACCTTTTCCCTGGACATTAAGAATAGAAAATTACAGTTATCAATCATGTGACGAAGAAAGAAATATACGGTCTTTTAAATCTCCTACTTCTTAATATGACATATAAGCAAATATACTTTGAATTTTCATGTAGTCAGAAACCAGAGAACAATCCTACCTTAAGATCCCATGTAACTTAAAGGTTTTACAAAATTGTAGACTATAGTGTACATGTCAAACCTATAAGAAGCCTTTCAGTTTTACTCATGATAATTATCTCTCAAATCAGGATCACAGATCTAGAACTGTCAGAGTTAGTTTGAAAAAAACCAACATGTTTGAATGTTAAAACTAAACTCTTAATAGAAGGATTAAACAAGGTTATTATACGCTTGGATTTATAATTAATAAATTTCTATGGATTAATAATTAATAAATAAGTAATAATTTTAATAATTTTACTATATTGAAAAGAGAATTTGAATAAGGAAATCTTGGTTTTCATTTTAAAATACAATCAGGGAAACATGTTCTGCTACAGAATGATTATAGGTTGTGGATCATGAGTAATAATGCATTCTTACCATGTAATAGCAGTTTAAAGGTTTGAAGTTAATATTTTCTGTATTATATCACGGCTCATTTATATTAATAGCATTTCAAACAAACTAATCCAAAAATTTGAAGTTACCATAACTTTTAGATGAAACAGTTTTTAAATCTATTTTTGTGTCTTCTGTTTTTTATTTTTATTTTATTTTTTGAATTTTGTACAAGACTAAATTATTTAAGCAATAAAAGGTTATTTTTTTGCAGTATTTCCAAGTTAAGAAAAAAAAATGTAGTACTTACTGGGACGGGAAACAAATATTTACTACTGGTAATTCCCACCACTGGCATTTCTCGGCCAACCCTGTATTAAAAGAATGAAAGCAAATGATTTAGAAGAAATTTCTTAGGATTTCTTTTTTTTTGCGAAGGATTTGACACATGAAATGCTCCGAAATTTGCTTATAATAATCTGATAGAGACTTATAATGAAATATATGGCGATAACGAACAGTATTCAAAATTCAATTAAGTAATTCAAAATGGGAGAGGAGCAGACACCAGAGGTGCCAAGTGGAAGAGTGAGCATCCTCCGTCGACCGGTCACACCTACTGTGTGCTTTTTGTCATGATCGGGAATAAAGAAACAAGAGGCCCACGGGCCTTATAGGTCACCTGAGTATCATGTAACAACTTTCCAGCAATTGTATTTGGTTCTTGTTTTAATCCAAAAGCCATGAAATTCACAAATTTTGAAGGAGGCACCATTGCTTATCAAAGGGCAGATTTCAAAGCATTAATTTATTTTTAGTCAAAGTACCCCCCTGGTACCCCTGGCCCAGCGGCCCTGAAATTATCTATTTTGAAAGAGGCCCCTTTCTTCATTATAAGGCCAGCATTTTTTTTTTTGTTTAGGTTTAGTTATGAACATGAGAATAAAAAAGTCCCGAAGGAGAAGGAAATAAAAAAAAAAATGATAAATCGATTATTAACATTTGTACATTCTTTTTCTTATGCTATTCTAATAAGCTCCTTACCACTGGACACATAATGCTTACAAATAGGAAAGTAGAACATTTACTTGCTTATTTCATCATCTGCCAGTTTGGGCCAGTTATATAAATTTTGTGATGTTGGTCAAAATATATTTTAAAAAACAATTCTTTAAAAGTCTTTCAATATATCTTTATTTTTTTAATATGTGTTAGGTGAATGTGTAGACATTGTTCTAAAATTTACTTGATGCCTAAAATTATAATTCCTATCATAAAACAGACAGGGAGTATTGGGGAGTGGGGTGAACATTTATTCAATTAAGTGTAAAATAATTTTTCTGGCTGATATAAATGATACTACATGCCTGTATATATTTGTATATTATTGCCTTTTAATAGCTGAATTTTTTTTTATTTCTTCAGGTTATTGTTTATTTCTCCCTCAAATGGACTCAACTTCTCCCATAGTTTTATTCATTACATCTGATGCATAAGCAACCCTTTTCTGAAGAATGATGCTTAGACTGAAAGCTATAACAGAGACCTAAACAATGTCACTGGCAATATGCAATAGCTACCACGGGCAGTTTAAAACCTGGGGGAGGAAAATAATTTACAGACAGATACTTTTGAAACGAAAACATTATCTCACCAGCATGTCATTGTGCAACAACGTCGCCAGCATTTTATTTATCCTTTGAACGGGTGAAACGTTTTGAATGGCACTCGTATCGATGAATTTTACACAAAACCAAGCTATCTTCTCAGATCTAGCTTTATTTACCCGCCGTTTCATCTTAAAACCGAAAGTGCGAGTTCGTAAATTTGAAATCTCGATCCCGACTCAAATTTGACATCGGAAAGAAAAAAATTGTTTTATTTTTTTCTGAAAATTCAAAACCTTGAGCGGAGGGTTTGTAAAACTGAAAATAAAATAAATCCTGGCCTTAAATATGTAATTAGATCATTAGCATATTAACCAGGAGCAAAGGATAAGATGTTCAAAGAATTCATGTATTTCACTATATAATCATTAGAGCCCCACCCTAAAACAAGAACCCCTGACCCTGGGGCCATAAAATTCACAATTTTGGTAGAGGCGCTCATGCTCATCATAACTATGTACTTAGTTAGTTTATTTAATACCCAGGAGCAGAGAAGAAGATTTTCAAAGAATTCATGTATTTTCACTATATAATCAATAGAGCCCCGCCCTAACACCAGAATCCCTGACCCTGGGACCATAAAATTCACAATTTTGGTAGAGGCACTCTTGCTCATCATAACTATGTACTTAGTTGGTTTATTTAATACCCAGGAGCAGAGAAGAAGATTTTCAAAGAAATAATGCATTTTCACTACCTACTTATTTAGCCCCGCCCTAGCACTAGAACCCCTGACCCCAGGGCCATGAATTTCACAATTTTAATAGAGGACTCATTGCTGATTACAATCATGCAAACAGTTTGACTGCTTGATGTCCAGGAGTAAAGAAGAAGATTTTTAAAGATTGCATTAATTTTAGTGGTTTTGGCCCCTCCCCTCAGGCCCCAGGGGGGCAGGGATCACGAAATTCACAATTTTTGTTCCCCTTTACCCATAGATGGTTTGTGTCAAATTTGGTTGAAATTGGTTCAGTGGTTGCAGAGAAGAAGCTGAAAATGTTCAAATGTTAACGCACAACGGACGACGGACGACGCGCGACGACGGACGAAAACAGATAGCAATAGATCACCTGAGTTTACTCAGGTGACCTAAAAAATCGTTGTCAATGCAACATGTAAATAATGGCCTAAAAGTTAGTATGTAATACGTCAGTCAGCATTTGACTCAACATCAACATCTCTATTACCACATAAGTAAACTTTTTTATGTACATTGTTTTTTTTCATACCTCAAACAGTATGCGCAAGATAGAAAATAGTCATCGATATTAAAGCTTTCAATATTCCTTTAGGACACAAACATTGTTAATTTTGTAGGATAGTTATATGTTTCTGTGTTGAATTTTATTGTATGATAGTGTTTAATCTTGTAAGACGACCTTTGTGAGTGACACTCAGTGGTCATCGTTTTAAATTAAAAAAATCTAGTAATCATAACTTGCCATTTCAGAATGTATTGGTGACCTCAGCTGTGGCCAGACATGCAGTCAAAATTGCGAGGGAGATTGTAATCGAATGACTGGTGAATGTATAAATGGTTGCAAGGAAGGTTGGAGGGGAATCCAATGTGACAGTAAGCACTGTCTTAATTGATTGAACTTTTCTTTCATTGGGATTCCCTTTATTTTTCTTTAAAAAAATAGATTTTCTATTTTGTTTTTCGAATATTTGTAAAGATACACGTGCACGAAAGAAGTTAATTCTTTTTGAGAACTTTTTCCAAAATACGAGATATTCCAGAGTGCGCCCTCGGACGATACGGAGAGTTTTGTTCTTCTACATGCTATAACTGTCAAAATAAGCCATGTAATGGACTATTCAATGGCTGTGACAACACTGGTTGTAGTACTGAGCCTCAGCATTGTGAACTACAAAATAGTAAGGATTTTATCATATTTCTTTGTGTTTTAGAACCAATACATCAAATAAACAATGTATTCATTTTCTCTAGCATTTGTGGGTGACTATATATCCATATATAATTATATCTTCATTAAATCACCATTAAAACAAAATAAATGGTATTGTACAGTTATCATAATTATTGAGTTTTGATAAAGTCTACTCGTCATTATAAGGACCTGATCAGAAATTGGTTGATTGAAGCCGCGTTATTACAAATACCTGACCAGGTCCGTATAGTCACGATTAGACCGAATTCAAAAGTCAATAATTATAACCGTTTTTAAGCGATCAAGATTTTTACATTAATGTTTTGACTCTTTACTTTTTGTTACGAACAAATATAAACACTCATAATATAAATTATAGTGTATCAAACATGTCAAAACAATATATAGATTTTAACAAATTAACAACTTTACAAAACTTAGAGTGAACAAAGAATTAATACTCATCTTTTTCTACAAAGGACATTGATTAGTTGACAAAATGTAAGCAATTCTATGGTAGATTATGAGGGACAAACCGAATTTAATGTGAACCCACTTCGAACTCACTTTGAGGTACTCACTTTTAGAAAAAAGTGATCAAAGACCACCGCATATTGTGAATATTGTACTCAGTAGGTGGCTAAATCATCACTGCAAACATCAACAACTTTTCATTTTTTGATTCAATGAATAAATGAAACAAACTCTTGAAGGTGTTCTTGACACCGTACATGTTTACATTTTCTGAAATCGTAACCAAACATGAAATGCATGGTTAAAGAATCATACCAAGTCGTATTAAAATTAATTTTATTTAGATTATGAGTTTTCTTGTGTTATATGTTCGTTTAAGGAAAAATCAGTAGCAAAAAGCTTTCAAGAAATTTTGTATCAATTTGGAATTTCGAAGTCTATTTTAAGACCTATATATAAAAAATAAATCTTTATATTATCTTGGAACGCAACTTGCAGGTGAATAAAGTGTAGTATTTTATTCTACATTTTGGATCTCAGCCAATCAGAAAGAGGGGAATTATTCAATCTTATACTAATCTTATACTAAATAATAATACTTAACCTGCTCTAACATAAAAATTTAAACATTCGTGTTAAAAAAGTTTAAAGATAGAAAAACAAGGCTGCAAAATGGTAGTAACTTCATATATACAGCAATCGAATTCAAATAATGAACAGAGTATTTATTTAATATCAGAACATTAATTATTCAAAGGTATGAAGTAAAGGAATAAATCAACCTAAGCGAAAAAAAATTGAGTTTTGACATTCACCGAGACAACTATTTGAACCACTACACCACAAAAGTAAACATAAATACATGTATGGGCATTTGAATATTTAAATATATCTTAAAACCACCCCACACCTGTTTTCAGACAGGTGTTTGCACGATAACGTCCCATAACTGCCCTGCTTGACGAGGAAAGGTCTAAATTTGAAGCCCTTTACTGTTATATGTACAGCGTATACAGTGACATCTCAAAATTATTGGAAAACAACATACATTCAATCAGTCAGTCAATTCTTGCATTTAAAGGCTTATTGAAGTAAATTAAGGAGGGGGGGGGGTGTAACCGCACACTATCCACACGTCCGTCAGGTGATATTTCGTATAATTGGTACATAGATCGAGATCAAGTCCAACTAATAATTTTACTAACAAAGTTTAGCATAGCGTTGCATAATTTATTACAAAAACAAAATGGTCAGTAAATGAAAAATAATCATCATAGTAGTGAAGCATCTTTAATTAATGCACTTACCATATGTACATGGAAAATCGACATATTTTGTAGTGAAAAATTATTTATCAACTGTGATTGTTTTTGAGCTCTTATACGTCTGAGGATATATTGTACTACATAGTTTTGGGAAGGGGGCGTTTTCATTTTTGAGATGAGAATCACTTTTCTTTGTCGCCTCCTTTTCTTGCATTTTTGTGAGGGTTAATGTAGGAGTAGCGCTCCATTCCATAACGGTAATGGAGCCGATGCCCCGAAGGGGCCGAGTCCCATTACTTTTAAGGAATGGAGCGTTACGAGTATATTAACCCGCGTAAAATCCTCCTTTTTAATGCTTTTATTTATTGTTCGTTAATATAAAATAAAAAAACTAGAGGTACTGTGAGCGATGAGCTCACTAAATGATACCCCCCGCCTCCCATATGGTTATAACTGGTGAAAAAGTCCATGTTTTCCTGTGGCCGGTCAACCCAAAATATGTGTCGGATCAAAAAGTAAAATAGGAGGTGCACAATGGCAATATGTAATAAAGATTCTGTGAAAGTTTCATCAAATTTCCTTCAGTGGTATGAGAGGAGTTGCGGATAAGAGATGGGTACCCCAAAGCGTAACAGACGGACGGACTGAATTAACGATTACTATATACCCTCCCGCTTTTCAAGCGGGGGGTATAATAATTATTTATATGATACACTGTGAATAGACATTATATATACGTAGTATTTATTTTTTTTTATATAGAAAGTAAGGGAAAAATGTACTAAAGTTATTCTACTGCAGTGTTTATCAACAGCTTCGATAGCTCAGTGAAGTGAATACCCGACTACAAAGCGTAGGGGACCGGGTTCGATTCTAACCATGGGCAATAAAATTTTCATAATGTTAAATAATTCGCAATTCTCCATTCCGAAAATGTAATGGAGCGCTCAAACAAAAGAATGATGTCACAGGCTGATTTAACTTCATATTCGAATTTCATTATTCCATCGTAAGTCCTTACAAATAATTGACTATTGGTTGACATTCCTAATAGTGAATTAACACGCATATTTGTTTTCTTTTGCGTAAAACATCCAATCACTTTATATTTATAACGGTAGAGAGAAAAAAATATGCATTTTTTGTCGTTTGTGAATTGATGAATTCATATGATAATGTATTAAATCATTTCTTGTGAAAAAGTAAGTAAAACTAGAGGTACTGTGAGCGATGAGCTCACTAAATGATACCCCCCGCCTCCCATATGGTTATAACTGGTGAAAAAGTCCATGTTTTCCTGTGGCCGGGAAACCCAAAATATGTGTCGGATCAAAAAGTAAAATAGGAGGTGCACAATGGCAACATGTAATAAAGATTCTGTGAAAGTTTCATCAAATTTCATTCAGTGGTATGAGAGGAGTTGCGGATAAGAGATGGGTACCCCAAAGCGTAACAGACGGACGGACAGACGGACGGACGGACACACATTTGGTTATATATTGGGTACATCAAGTCCAAGTCCTATTGGATACTGCTTATTGGATACAAAAAAGTGTACACACGAGAGAGCATTATTTGGGTAGTTACTGTTCAAATCTTATTGGATATTAATCCTCGTGTCCGTATTTTATTGGGTTTTTTCTTATTGTTTTTTCATTCATTTCAAATTTATTATATATTTAATATTTGCTGGTAAATTCAGACAAGACTGAAAACCTTTGGTTTTGAACCCATATTTTTGTCAATTTCTGTGATATAGCTCTTTTATTGTAACACCTAACTAATTTGTTCTTAGCAATAAGGATATACACCTGTATATTTCAAAATATCTAATATTAAAATATATGGTTACCTAAGTGCAAAAAAATTGTGAAAACACAACTCAACACATCTCAGACTCTGTTCAACCTTTCTTGAATAACAAAATTAAGTGTTTAAGGAGAAACCTTTTTGAGTAATGACCAATTAATAATAAGCAAATGCCCATTACATGTTGGACAGAATGAAGGTATCCAACAGGCATTGGACAGGTGTCCAATACCCGTTGGGTTGTATTTTGACGAAGGGATTAAACTATCCAAGAACAATTGAACATGTGTACATTGTCCAATTCTATTTGGGTTTCTTAAATCTCCTCATCAAAATACAACCCAACAGGTAATGGACACCTGTCCAACTCCTCTTGGATATCTACATCCCACCCAACAGGTAATGGACACTTGTCCAATTCTTCTTGGGTTTCTTGAATTGTTTCATCAGAATACCACCCTATTGGTAATGGACATCTGTCCAACCCCTCTTGGATATCTACATCCCACCCAACAGGCAATGGACACTTGTCTAATTCTTGGGTTTCTTGAATTGCATCATCAAAATACAACCCAACAGGTAATGGACACGTGTCCAACTCCTCTTGGATATCTACATCCCACCCAACAGGCAATGGATACTTGTCCAATTCTTCTTGGGTTTCTTGAATTGTTTCATCCGAATACCACCCAACAGGTAATGGACACCTGTCCAACTCCTCTTGGATATCTACATCCCACCCAACATGTAATGGACACTTGTCCAATTCTTCTTGGGTTTCTTGAATTGTTTCATCAGAATACCACCCAACAGGTAATGAACACCTGTCCAACTCCTCTTGGATATCTACATCTCACCCAACAGGTAATGGACACTTGTCCAATTCTTCTTGGGTTTCTTGAATTGTTTCATCAGAATACCATACAACAGGTAATGGACATCCGTCCAACTCCTCTTGGATATCTACATCCCACCCAACAGGCAATGGAAACTTGTCTAATTCTTGGGTTTCTTGAGAATCCCCTCATCAGAATACTACCCAACATGTAATGCACACCTGTCCAATTCCTCTTGGATATCTTCATCCCTTCAATAGTATATAAACTAAAAGTAATTGGACATTCTTCTTAGGTTACTCAATTTTCTTTTCATA